TTCATTGACGCCCGAGTATTTCAGCCACGCCAGCAGCCTTGTAAACAGAGCCCAAATCGTGCGGTGTTATATAACTTTCTTTTGTTCACGAACCTGGCTCAGTGCACTGCTGACCTCTTTTCAATAGGGGCCAGATTAGCGTGCAGCGGTGCTGTGTGGCTCATCGCTGCAGTGGTGGAGTGCTTTTTTCCCCGGTGGTAATCCACTCGCTCTCAATGCCCCAAACCCTGGTATACGGTTTCAAAACAAGGCTGGATTATCACCACTTTTGAGGGTGAAAAATGTCGGTAATGCCCAGCAGCTTGGTCTTTTGTTCGGAGTACGGTCTTTTGTTACAGGGCCCTGTTTCCTTTGTCCGAGTTTGGAGACCCTGACCACGCATATAAACCATACGTCTCTGATTCCGGAGTCCCCGGCAGGAAGTGGTTAAGACAAAAATTGAAAAAGTTCCAAAAAAAGCTGATGGAAAAAGACAGGTGTTTCTCGACATCCAGATTAGTAGACAATTACGTGGATAAAAACCAATCACCAATGTGAAGAATATGCTGGGCACAATCAGTCCATCAGTGTAAATTGCTGAAAGATTACACGAATGATTCATCTTCTGGCAAGATCCGTTGCTTCCTCTGCCATTGGCTGATTACTTTTTCTCTCTAATCCTGGGTTACGGAAGATTTCTCCTGAAATGTGATATGGAGGCCGAGATTTCCAACAGGAACAACAGACACAGAGCAGAGCACTGCACAGAGCAGTGGGTCTATTTCTCGGAATGACTGATTGTACCCAACAAAGACATGCTGCAACAGACCTGCAAACATAAATACAATAATCCCATCTTTGATAATCTGCATTTGGAAAGCCGTGATGCTCTTCCCTCGCCGACGATATCGTGTGTGCACGCCGTCAACGGTGTGCATGAACTACTGCGTGCCGACAGGTGCATTGCATGTGACAAAAACTAGCGGGCTGACAGCACAAAACTGCGGCCAAAGCGCAGTTCTGCCAATGTCGCATTTTAATGCATTGGTCGCACAGCAAGTTGTGACAAATTTCATCAAACTTTGGTGCGTTAAGCCCAGCAAGGGGTACAATTCACAGGCTGACTACTGTGGCAAGTGAGACTTCCAATTCCAAAACTATACAGGGAAGAAGGTATCAAACAAAACTGTCGAAGGGAAGTGGATGTGTGAATGCGTGCTAGATGATATGAACAAAGATTATCATGCTCAATGCAATGCAAACAATTCATCTACGATGGCTGAATGAGTGAGGAAGTGGTTTGGTGACTTCTTGGGTTTTTTGGGGGGGTGAGTGCTTACACAGCCTGCATATACCTTTGTCATGGTCCGTGAAGTCGGGGTTCAAATTATCCGACTTGTCAGATGTTAGTGGAGGAACGGTGGGAGCTGTGGAAAGGAGGTTTGGGAAACAGAGGAAGGGGTGAAACCGAGGGAAAGACTCAAATTACGGGTTGATTAATTTCCAAGCAGGGTTGGTTTGGATAAGACGGGAGATGGAAGGGGGAAGTAAAAAAAAAAAGAAGAAAATTACAAATGTCAAAAATTCTGATTAAAAAAAAATGGAAATCAGTCGGATTTTAGGGTGTTTCCTGTGCTGAACATGTAACACGGATAAAAATCATCATCATTATTCTTTTTAAGGTAGGGAAGGGGGAATTTTGGAATGTCTTGAAGACCACACATTTAATTTGGATAATGTGTCAACTCGGCGGCTGTCAAGACAGGGGGAGAACGTCTCCGAACACACTTCTAAGTGAACCCCTTTCCTCCTCGATTCAACACTGCATGCTGACAAGCCATCTCTTTCCTGCCACAAATCCCAGCATGCAAATCATGCACATCCACTGGGACGCCGCAGTCTTGGCCACAACACTGTGGCAACTCTCACCGCAGACAGCCTGCTCCAAGCACTGCAGTGGCCCCTACTCACAGGCATTGTCCTGGACATTGAGTGGGCAAGCAGACAAACCGTGCCAACTTGCTTCTCGGGATTCTTTCCGATATAAACGCAAGCCATTCTCCATGCTACAAAAATCTCCTATCACACATGCACATCACGGTAGAGCATGCCATAGGTTGCACATTGGCAACACACACTTATTTTCAAGTGGGAAGGGCCATAACCACAGCACACTTTACAGCCTCATTCTTTGGGACACAAAATAGCAGTCACACAAGGACTTCACCTACACTTGCTGGGCCTGGGCAGTATTATCTACCGCTGTTTGATGTATGAAAAACCTGAAAAGAGTAAACACTCCCTGCCTTATTAAGGACTTCATATTTGCAGAATCAGGTTCTTGTGGCCAATCTATGTAGAGCGTTAGTTCTATAAAGTGGGCATGGGCAGAAAGGGTATTATGTATTAAAAACTTGTTCGTGTAGGATTCAACATTTCAAAATGGTCCTCAGGACTGTTTTCCATTGGACAAGCTAACATTCCCAAATGAAACAGTGCTCCCCGCGAAATGATCCAACAGCATTCCCATGTTCAAAACGGCCGTTAACAAGGATTTACGCCGAAGCTGTGATACGACTGTGCCCGGGTGTTTAAGAAATGTGGTGAGTCTGAGTGTGTCCAAATGTTACGGCTGCGGCTAGACACAAAACACAGGCGTCGATGACGCATGCATGCATGAAGCCACAGTCGGTGATTTCTTAGCGGAGGGGGGGGTGCTTACCGTCACCCTGGGGTCGCGCCGGTCCGCTGTCGATGCTTCCTCCGTAGCCCGAGCTCTTGCACAAGGGCGGGGCCCACTTGGGATCACAGTGGCAGTGGTTGTTACTGTTACAAACCTGGAAATAAACAGAGGGGTAATTTTAACTTTTTCAAAATGGTAACAACTCAAGACAATGGCGCTGGTGCTTCTCTAATGGTTCGGGGGGGGAGGAGTCAGCGTAGGGGAGGAGGGATCAAGACATAGTGGTGGTGGTGATGATGAAAGTGGCAGTGGGGATTGAAAAAGTGATAGCTGCATTGGTGGTGCGTTAAATTGGTGGCTTGGTAAATTTTATGGAAGTTTATAAAAACTGATTGACTGGTCTTCCACTGTTTGGCACTTTTTGGGACCCAATATCACGACTTTGGATACTGCTCGCAAAAATCTTGAACTATGGCAGAAAACTCTGCGGTTGACGGTTAGCACATTTCATGGGGTTCAGAAGCATTTGTGGCTTGTGGGCATTTTCCTCTAGTATCTGAGGGTTTCGTCCTTACAGAGTTAGCTTGACATTTTTTACCAAGGTGCTGTAGCACATAACAGCGATCACAAGCAGAGAGTTTTGGGTATAGATTTTTGGACGTCACCTGTCATAACGAACAGTCACTCCACCTGTCAGAGATTGAACAGGGGAACTGCGCGCAGTAGGACAAAATATCGAGAAATCTTAACACAAGCACACACAGAATGGGTTCCCAGGATTTATTTCTCACTTTTTTTCCACAAGTTCTGCCGGATGAATTTTCCAAAAATGGAAAGATGAAGAGTCCAGGATAATTATTTCCACCCATTTCCGCTAAAAAGCCAACATGGCCAATCCTCCAGTGGATACGCTGTTTTGACAGGAGACAGAACGTAACAGACTGATCACTTTCTCTTTTGACTGATCAAACTCTTCAATGTTTTCAGGCAGTTTTTAACTCCCTCATATTTCCCTAATCGGGAAAAGGAAAAGGGAAAACTCATGTCCCAGCTGTTTCCTGATTTCCAGGAAGGCTGGGAACCCTGAAACAAAGAATACAATGCTTGCAAATGAAAATCTGTGCACTGATGAAACAAGGATCTAAGATCTCGGCCTCTTCGTGAAGGAATTGAGACTCTGTGAGTCTGTTCACAGAAAAACTTTGACTAAAACACGGCAAACAATATTTTTTCCTGATGTTACTCACCCCATGGTTGTAACAATTGAAGGGGCAGTCTCTGATGTTCAGGTCGGATTTGTTGACGCAGCTCGTCTCAAAACATAACTGGGCAGAACAAAGGAGGGAAAAATTGGAATGCTTCCATCGACGGGGGGGGGAAAAACCTCGCGGATATTTGCATTGATACTGAAGGCTCCAATAACGTTTCAGCTTCTATCTCTCAAAAGAGCTGTGGAGGTCTCATGTCTGTCCAAAAATCATGGGCTCAGATCCCACTGAATGCAAGCGTCATTTTTTTCCCCTAAGCTTTTCACAAGCGGTGACCCGGGGTTCGAATCCCACTCAGTTCGGTCGAGTTTTCTCGGTGATCGCCTCAGGGGAACACTCAGCTTGCTGGTGCTATTTCAGAGCAACTTACAGCTCAAAACACAAATGACTATTGCTGTACTTGCAGATTTTCACCTGCTACAGATGAAGAGATACAGTTATCAGCAAAATGTCTTGCGAGGGATACTGAGCCACTTAAGAACCTCACAGGTTAAAATTGAACCTACAATCATTCAAAGTTTGACAAGTCTGAGGCCAACGAGTCTGAGGCCTCCAAGTCTGAGGCCTCTGAACCACCTGGCTACAGGACTCCACCAGTCAACGCTAGCCAAAGAAGGAAAAACAGAAAGTCAAACCTGAGTCTTGGAGCTTCCGCACAAGGAGCCATCACCGACGTACCCAGGGTCCGGGATGTCGTCCCCGAGGTCGATGCCGGCCGACTTGCAGGTGTGCCTCACTCCTTGGGAGTCAAAGCGATAACCCACGCTGGCCCTTGCCAGCGAGCCAATGATGGGGAAGTCAGCGCCACCCTCGCACATCAACTTACCGCACTTTAAATCCCTGCATGGGAGGACCGACAACACAAGGTTCAAGTTAAACAGGCGTAGAGAAAACGGTGCAGAGCGGCTTCATGATAATTGGCTCATGAGTATTGATGGGTTTGGTTCGGCAAAGGTCCCAAATGACAAATGGAGAGTCAAATTATCCTGACCCACCACTCTCGCGGTCAGATGCACTGGCAACAGGGAATGAAAGATGTCAAGGCAAAGTGCAGGCACAAGATCTGGTTACTGGCTTGGGTTTCAATACTTGAAGCTTACCTCTTTGGACAGCGGATGAAGTTGTCGTTCTCGTCCATCCCACAGTTCCCGTGATTGGATCCCTGCTCGTTGAAGTCATAGCACAGCTCATGCCCATTTGTGGCTCCTGGTTAAACCAAAAAAACCCAAAAAAACCAAGTGAAACAGACAAGATGAAGCAAGCAAAGAATAAACCCTGGTTTGCAGAGTCACCGGGAAAATATCAATCACTGTTTCACCCTCTACGTTAAGGATCTACAGGCTGGCTGTTTTACGGACTCATCGCGTCTTATCACGAAACCCGTTCATAACCAAGCAATTTGGAAATTTCAGCCCAAATTTCAAATGCTTGAATGCTCCCCTCTGTTGTCACTTTTAAACTCTGAACCTGGCAAAGCATGAACAGCCTAAGAAATCTCTACATTCAAGACTACGGCCAAGACTAGACACCATGCTACTGCTGTGTGAAACTTAATTATAATGAGTGTGGCAATAGCACAGCAACACAGCAGTTGTGCTAAAAGCTGAATTTGGATGGAGCAGTGCTGTGATGTGTGGAATGACGATAGCGCAGCATACCCTGTCAAGCTAAAGGGCTTGTCATGCCAAATTCAATTTGCTGAACCAAACTGTGCTAAACGCCAAACCTTAAAATACTGAATTATTTGAATTCAGTACAGCAGTAGCACGGTGTACAGCCTTGGCCTAATTGTTCCAAATGTGCATGTTACAGTCTGTGTTGTGTGCATTAATCGTGCATAAATGTGTATCAAAATGTACGTTGTGAGTAACGCTTATTTTATGGTTCGACGAATATTCATGCAGTGATCACCAAAATGGCTGCCACGTTAATCTTGGGCCGTGCCTGAGTTACATGGCTAGGGCTAGAAACAATGCACAAGCCTACGGAAACTTCTAACAAGCCACTTCATTTGTTTTCTACGGAAGTGCGCATTGTTTTCAGTCATAGCCAAGAAGTTGGGACATGGCTGTGGGACGCATTTCTCACCATTTCCCCACAAGGCTCTGCACTGATCATCATAGGTCACGCACTGGCCGTTGTAACAAATGGCGTCACTCGTCTTACAGTCCTCCCCATTCTGTCGATAAACATTGCCTGGACACTAACAGGTTAAACACAAAAATGTAAAACAGACCGTTATCATATTTCCAATTTTGTCCAGGTCAATTTCGTACCAAATATCTTTCAAGATCCCTTTCAAAGTAAGCTCATCGAGGTTTAGGGATTTTTTGTAACACGTATGCAAACAATTTGGACCATTTCACCGAGGTTTAGAAGAAGAGACATTACTGTGAAACCTGCTGGATTCAATTTGAGGTTCAAATCCCAGTGGGAGGCACGGTGCGTGTAACTTCATGCTCTCAAAATAATGTCAAGAGGTTGGGTGCTGTGATTAGTTTCCACTTCATTTATCCCTGTCATGATGTCTTCGTCACCAAACTGTGCACATGCAAACACTCTGGGGTTCACATTCTGGAAAAAACAGTATGTTTTTCTTGGAAGCCTGTTCACAGACATGGTCTCTTGAATTACATCCTTCCATTTCACATGCAATATTGCATCGGGGGCCTCTCGTGGCATTATGATGCCGTAATCGTCATTTTTACCACTTAAACCTTCTGGGGCCAAGGTCCCGAGAGCGACCCGCTCACCTCGTTATCGATGCCCGTGCAGTACTCGGGCAGATCGCACTCGTTGACCTCGTCGCGGCAACGCACGCCCGCCTCCTTCAGCTGACAGTCCTCGCAGCACTCCCCGTTGGCACAGGTCGCATTCTCGTGCAGGATGCATCTTTCAGGCACGCAGCACTCGTTCTTACACTCCTAAGAAGCAGACAGATTCAAGGACATAAGCGGCGACACTGAAACTGGTTCATCCTCCCGGCAAACACAAAATCACAACGAATCTGACGTCGCAAAACACCCGCAGGCAAATATGCCTGAACTGAGGTATGGTCAACTTTTGCGAGTTCACAGCCCGAAGGTTAATCTGATCTAATAATGTCGCATTTACGTTCACTTTCACACCAAGTATGAATTGGCTGGAACTCGTGCAAATTCAGGCTTTTTTATTTTCCCAAGCAGAAAAAGCAGTAACTGTTGTCTGTGTGTGACCTCTGGCTTAGGACTCATATCATTTAAATACCTGCACCTGCGCAAATGGGCGCAGTACTACTACTGGTGGGGCAGATTTGATAGCTCATCCAATCAGATGTCGCAGGAAGGCAACACGGCCACAATGTTTTGCAGAGAAGAGAGCCAAATTTCAACAGCTTCAAAGGCTCTGCTTTTCCTCGTGAACACTATTTTTTCCAAGTCTAGTTCAGCAATTAGAATTTGAATATCACACCTGTGCATTTGACTTGAGGTGAAAAAAACAGGGGGTCCAGGGACTTTGAAATTTTCTGCTGTTTTTAACATCCCGTTTGCATGACCAAACATGTTGGACAAACACAGAGTTGAGTTCAAAACTGGTGCCACAGGGCATCTAGGAAAACACCTGTCCCCTTCCACTGACCTCCACAGTTCCGCAGTCGCACTCTTCGCCCTTCTCCAGGAAGCCGTTGCCGCAGTGCGGCCCCTGGAAGATCTCCTTGGGGTAGTTGAAGAGGCATGCTCCCAGGCCCTTGAGCAAGGCGGCCTCCAGGTCGGCTTGGGAGCAGGAGGAGAAGATGGTGGGCGGGATGGAACTGAAAAGAGAAATGCACACAGAGAAACAGATAGACACACGGACCGACAAACAGACGTTTGAGATTCATTAGCACTGACAATTGTAAGGTTGTGGTCAAAACCATCACAAGTCCCTACAAGACAATCCCAAGACCAACACAAGATCTCCAGTCTGAATTTGAGACACAAGCTATTCAACCAAACGGTGACAAAAGCACTCCTTTGTCACTGTTCACCCTGCTACTTGAGACTGGTCTTGTGTCTTGCCTTGCAATAGTATAAGCTACAACGCAAGCGATTATGTGATGACCTTTACCAACATCAACACTGTATGGTACCTGTCCCTCCAAAATTAACCAGGCTTGTGTGTCCGATACATGGAAGGACTGAACATGTGTGCAGATACTTTTTCGGGGAGGGGGGGTTGTTGTTGGACAACTGAGGTTGTATGCTATCAGTCTCGGTGGATGGGGGGTCACGTGGAAGTGAATGAATGTATAAGTTTAAGTTAGCAGTGGAGAGGAAAGGTGTGATCCCATACCGTGCTAACTTCTTTTTCAGCACACGTAGTTGATGCTGAAAGTTTGCATTGTCAGACAAAATATTTCCATCGACTTAGGTATTACTACCGGTATGGCGTGTTCGGCCTGCGGGATCTTATTATGTTTTTTTGGTTTGCAAATGATGGTATGCTGGAGAATGCTTATCAACGAGCAGGACTTCTTTGCCGGAACCTGTCCTGAAGCCCTCCAACATCCTCAACCTGAAAATCAGTGCTGCACATCTGTACTTCAACTTTCCAGGGGGCCTAAAGTCTTGTGTCGAGTTATACTAGCGACTCTCTACAAAGAACAAGGTGGGTTTTGAAGTACAGGGGACAGCTGGAGGTAGAGTCTAAGCTTGTGATTAAAAGAAATTTTGAGAAAAAAAAATCCATCCCCGAACTTAAGGCATGCAGACCTTGCTTTAACATCTTTTTAGTGGTTTCAACTTAAAACTTGGAATGCCTTATAAGGCAAAATGCTGCAGAATATAACGTCATGGTCTTAGACAAACAACTTTCTCATCGGCACTCTGCGGTCCTAGTGATTACCGCTGCGGCCTCTGCACTTCCTGCTGAAACCACGAACAAAGAATGCACATCCTCTTTCCCGTTAATCGATTGACCATCACGGGGAGCGAAACAGGAAGAACAACCACCATTTCCTCTTGGAAAGTTTCTTTGAACACAGTGACATTGAATGCACCAGCAATTTACACCGTCATTTCTGCACAGTAACGGTAATATTCCAATATGTTTTATGTGATATGTTTTTTCAATGTCAGTGCTTGGGCACCGAGAAAATATACGCTCCAAGACACTGGCATTTTATTTTAAACCCGACAGCTCAGTTGCACTGTTGGGAAAAAAGTGAGGAAAAATGCCATAGATCATGAAAGACCAAAATTAAATATACGCCGATGGTATAAGTCACTGGCTCCAAGACTGAGGCTGAGTCACAAGTCACTCACTCAAGTTTTAGGGATGAGTGTTGGGTCACTCAAAATTGATATGCTGCATCACAAATTATTTCTTCACATTTGGAAGTCAAGCCACACTTTCCTGAAGTTTTAAAATATGAGCGAGGAGTCTCTAATTCATTCATTCGAGTTTTTAGACGAGTCATAAATTACCATTTTAGTTTTGAAGCAGAGTAATGATCACTTTTGAAAGTTTTTTTAACCGAGATGCATGAACAAATAATACTAAATCATCCTAAAACGTTTAGGTCCAGTCAGACAGCCAAGTTTTAGGGCTGGGACACAAGGCATTTTCTGGAGTTTTGAGGGTAGAGTCACGAGTTACTCACCCGCTGGAGGGTTCCATGACGCACCCAGTGCTGGCTGGGGCATCGCACTGACAGTTTCTGTCCTCTGTGTCGTGCACAAAGCCCATGTTGTGGCCCATTTCGTGTGCCATGGTGGATGCCACGTCGGCAGCATTCACCCCATGGTCCTACATGAGGCATTGGAAAAAAAACCAAAACAAACGGTGGTGTCATAACCTTGGACATATCCAGACATGGATGTAGAGAAGACAAAAATCCCTCTACAAAAAATCTTGCCCTGATTCGCTTCCAAATTGCCTGTGGCCGTTCAAACCCCGTCAGAAAAATTTCTCAAAAGAAACAGCGATGAAAGAATTTTGAAAAGACAAAAATAGGTCTGGCATTCGTGCCTAGGAAAAACACACGATATTTGAGACCTTCCCCTACTGTTAAGAAATTAACAGATTTTCATTTGCTCCTTGGCTAACTATCATTATTGAAACCACATTTTGACCTGAAAACTACAAAATGAGAAACTGCATGAGTCGCCTTCACTGCAATACAGAGTTGCTTGATTTCATTTTCATCTTAAGTTTTCTTCCTTTTTCATTTTTTTCGGGGGGGGGGAGCATTGCGTGTTTCTGACACGAATAGCTTATTTCTCACCTCATTGACCCCACCAGATCGGTCAAGTGAGCACATGACAGACAAAGAAGCCATACCAACAGTGCTTCCATCAAAGGATTTGCCTCTAAAAAAACAAGACAAGAATATGCACACCTCCATTTTACATTGACAAATCTCACTTCCAGCAAAAGATAATGCCTTTGTTTCAGCACTTTTTGGTCAGCAACATTAACAATTATTTAAATTGTGTCACCGAACGAAACCCTTCCTTTTTATGCCAAAATAGATCTGTTCATTGCAGTCAGGGGCTGACGGGTAAAATAGGTCTGGTAGACCTAGATCAGAGTAAACTTGCGGTCCATGACCTGATCAGAGTAATTTCTTCTGGTGAAATACAGTCCCTCCAAAAATATGACGATAGCAAAAACTGATCTGATTATATGTTATTCCCTATGGTTGAAAATACCACAACCAAATACAGAACAAATTTCTTCAAATATAACGGAAAAAAGTATGATTCAGGATGACATCCCTAAGTTTTAAATCACATTTATCATTTATGACTCATGATGATGACTCATGATGATGACTCATGTGCAGAGTATTTGATGGACTATGGATCGTGACTCACCGCTAAATAACATAGTTTAGATAAAAGGGACAACAGAAATTGATACCAAATGTTCAGTTTCTCACTGACGGAAATGTAATCCCACAAGCCACATACATGTAAAACCAAAGAGAAGAACAAAAACAAAGGAATATATTTGTCACAGTTCATTAGAACGGCTTGTCACATGACCCGTAACGAGATTGTTTTACAATAGACTTGCAAAAGCCCTGATAATACCAGCACGGGACGAGTTTAATTTCTCACGTGACAAACTGGGCGTTGTCGTTGTACACATTGGGGAGGAGTGTCTCTTTCCTCCAGCGGTGGAAGTACTGCATGGTGAGTGTGGGATTGGTGCTCACGTCAAACTGGTCCCCTTCGTCCCAGACCTCCACCCCGATCAGGGCCACCCGCATGTTCAGCTGACGATAGATCTGGGGGGGGGGAAATAGGCAGAGGAATCTACACTGAAATCGGCAGTTGGGAGCCAAGTACATCTAGCCTGCTGGCTAACGGCTGTGGCCACTTCCCACAGCCATGGGCTCTTTTCCCAGCTGTAGCCGGTTAATTGTTCCACACAGCCTGACTTGTACAATACAGAGGCTTTAAAAACCAAAGCTAAATTTGGACTTCTTTTGTCGGCGCTACTGCATTCGTGGTGGATTCACTTACCATATCCATTGCGTTGGCCATCTCTTTGCATCTTGCAAAAACCTTCTCTTTGTCGCTCCCTTGGTCTATGAACTGTGGGTGCAAAGTTTGGTTCGAAAAAAAAAAATTCGCCAATTTAATGATAAAGCATGAACTCTTTTTATCTGTTTGCTTCCATGATGAGAGGTCACTGCAAATGTGACCCACTTTCTCCTCGTCTTTCATTTTTAAAAAAAGGGACCCTGGGCATGATCAGCTCCAAATGATAAGCTGCTGAGGCCAAAATGGTCTAGACAGATGCTTCACTATGGTAATGGAGCACGACAGTCAGGCCAGATAATGGTTGCCATTTCCTGCCTTCAGATACCAAAAAGTCAAGGCCACTCTCTTGAGACAGACAACCAGGCTTCTGTCCAGACTAGAACAGACTCACATGTAAACAGAGAGAAAAATTCACTCTTTTCTTTTCTCTTTGGCCTTGTTTTTGCTAATAATAACCTGAAGGAAAAATGATGGGCTGTAGGATATGGCTATCATCACCAGATATTCCTGTGTTAATAGCATTTCAACAAGATCAATTCCTCTTGGTCAAAGGAAAATTAAGTGGTAAGCAAAACTCCACTAGTTAAGGCCACAGACCTGTGACAATTGTTTGGTAACCTGTTTTTTTTGGGGGGGGGGCTGAGCAAACTATTTTTTGCTCAGCAGAATTTCTGTGCTTATTGAATTTCCGTACAGATGTTCAATACAAGCCCTCGCTTGACACAAACCTCTGCGTTATCTGCCACAATGAACAGCTCCACATATTTGGTTTCGTCAAAGACATCTCGCCTCACTCGCGCTTGCTGGTGCATGGATTCGGGCCAATTGGACGCCACCGGCTCATTGCTCAGCCCAGTGTCATACACTATTAAAAGTAACAGCGAATGTCAAGCACTCTTAGTCATTGAAGTGGGTTTTTTTTTTTTTTTTTGCCTTGGTGTTGTTTTCATGACCAGGTGTTCATTCCCTTCATTAAAGGATGTGTTTTATTAAGTATGCTGGTAACAAGATCTGGCATTCCCAATAGACATGTCATTATTAAAATTAGGGAAACCAACCGTACAAGTACCGGTACATATATGTTGAATTGAACACTTCATTTGATTTAAATGTGACCCGCTCTGCAAAAAAGGGGAATAAGTCTCGCAGTTCCAAATATGTTAAGGCCTGTTCTATTTGGAGAGGGCAAAATGTCTTCCAAAATGTGATTTGGTGGTTTTTCCTCTATTACCTTGTATAACATTTATGCTTTCAGAATTTGTGACTACAAACATGGATATTGATGAATAAAGATGAAAAATTGATCATTAGGAAATCCTACATAGCATTGTGTTTTCAAGTGCTGCACTTTCTGAGCTTTTTCTCAAAAAGTGCTTTAATTGAATCTGAAAATGTGGATATACAAATGTCTAAATATCTCTGGAGCACAGTGCACTGCAGGGGTCGTTCATAAATCCAATTGTAGCTTTTGATGTACTCAATCCAGCCATATCAAAAACTGATAACCTGACTCCAGCGACTTATTACCCATTTTTGTAGAGCCTGTCACAAATATTAATGGCTAACGTAGATACAGCACGTGAAGCTTTCGTTCACTGAGTGTACACGTACGCATTTGTGACCAAGCCGCATTCTTTCAATCCCACACTCTTGACATTTGAACTTGGTAAGAAATTCACTGCTGGTCTGTCCTGAGAACCCAAGTTCAGACCACTTATAGACCACATAGAGCCAGGCGCTGGTGCTGCCGGTTCCAGACGTGCACGCTCGCCACAGAGTGCATTGCAGAAGTGTGGTGAGGCAAAGTTCGGTGGATTCTGGGGCCCTGATTACTTTACCATGTGGTGTACATGAAGAGATAAAAAAACATTGCCTGTACTAATGGTCTCGCCACATAAATTGCTTACGTGCACATCTCATATACCCTGTAGTCTGGAGGTATGATCCATCCATAATGGCATGACTCATCCACTCTGAACAGTGAAGGAATAGGCACTATTCGTTTTTTTCACTTTCCACACATGACAAAAATCGGGCTATTCAAGCAGCCGGACAATTTTCAAACAGCTGAGGCAACAACATCATTTGTTGGTCGTGTCGTGCACATTACTTATGAATTTTAGTTTCAGGTTTTGTGATATTTAGTTGCATTTATTTCAAATGGCTACGTAGCAAAAACATAACTAAACATTTTACTTTGTACAACAGCATTCATTTAACAAGTTGATGCATAAATGGACCAAATTCTACCAAAGACTTAGCACACTATATTGAATAATTACGTATGTTTCGGTTTCTCACTTTTAATTTTTTTTCAGTGGAATTTGCTCAAATGATTTGAAATCCAATTCCAATGATTTCAAGCAGGGAAACGCTGTGCGTTGGTCCGGGTGGACAACTCGGCACATATGCTTCTAATAGACAGCCAAATCAATCAGCTATTTGATACAGATAGCAGAGCACATCCCCTACCCCACGTCTTCTTTTTCCTCCGGACACTGTCGGGCGTGTAGACGACATGCTCGCCCTCCGAGTCGCTCAGCCGCTCCACGTAATGGCTCTTGCCGTCGATGATGATGAGCCCGCTGAAATGGGAGAAGATGCAGGTCAGGGCTGGATCACGAGATGGGGCCTTCACAGGGTACAACTTGAGGCTTTTTTTTCTTAAGCCACAGCAGTCGAAGCCAATTGGGCGAGTTTTCTCTTTCAACTCATCCACTCGCTTCTGTGCTTTTTAAGATGTTCTTGGGTGTTTCACAGAGTTTGTCCTGTCGTGATTACCTGGTTTGGATCAAAATGCCCATTTGGCCGTCTGACTGTACAGGTAGCTGTAATAGAGTTTTTTGACAAGAAATGGCCTCTATGGGCCACTATCTCATCAGTCATAACTAGATGAACACCACAAATACACACTTTCATCAAACCTGCAAGACCGAACATGGTCGGATCCCACAAAATGAACCTGAAGGCTAAATCTTTTGGTTATTCTGTTTCAGTTTGCACGTGAAAGAACAAAATGAGTTCTGTGTTTTGATTTATCACCAATTTTGGCATCCTGATAAAAATAGACAATGCACATGTACAGGGAGCAAAAGGTCGAGGGTACGACCATTGATTTACTCCATGCAAGATTCTCTTCAAGGCCTTCCACTTGTTTTCTCCAGAGCCTTGTCACTTTGTCAAGTTGGGTCACAAATTTCACATGGAGCTGTCTGAGTACATGTACACAAACATGCCTACAACAAACAAAAAGTTGTTTTGCAACTACAGGTCACCAGCCAAAATGGCATACACAATATACTACATGCGACTGGTTCTCAGCTCATATTTGCTAACCATGTAATATTTGCTGAACAGTGTTCAAGGCTTGGCAGCCCTTGGAAACTGGGCCAAAGTTCAACCTGCCTGCCAGCAGTAAGGAAAAAAGAACCCACAAACTGAAGAACCTTTCTTCAAGGACTTCACTCATGGCCTAGAGCTAGAATGCCAAAGCTCTCTCGTGGCTATACCATGCATCATATAGTTTGATCGCAGTGTGATTGGCCAAATCGTTACCATGACTGATGGGTCCATGCCCTGCATGATTGGGGGCGGGATACTGAAACCAGCTTCTCAAAGGTCCATTTGTTCCTCTCTCTATTTACCCAATCTGACGAGACACACCCCGAACTGATAAAGCAGACGCAGGCTGGTGGGAAAACAAATTTCTACTCGGTGGAAGACCCGTGCATTTCTACAGAAATTGGTCTTGTGAGCTCAGTAAAGTCCTGCACCAAATATGCATGAACCTGTGTGCACGCATGCAGGGAGTTTCTAACAAAGGGGGCATTGAAAGATGCATGTCAAAACTTGTCATCTCTTGCTCCTGCATGGGGGCTGATAGACTTGATGTCCACCAGGCACTGTAAAGTGGTAAATATGATCAGTTTGCCAAGTGCACTGCAGAGTTGTTCAAGGCCCACCAGAACTGCCAATAATGTACCGGTACATGTATACATGTACAACTACCGTACATACATGTATGAGTAATTCCAGATATTAGGGGTCCGTTCTTTTTTCGTGTCCCTGTCACACCTGACATACATGTATGAATTTGCAAGTTCAGAACACATTTTCTAAAATCAAAAAGTGATGAATTAATGCAAATTACCTGCCAAACAAATAGTAATAGTTTGAAACCAATGTGATATTTCCATGTCACATCACAAAGGTCATACGTGACAGGGACACAAAAATGTCACACTTTTGGACCCCTAATTTCTGGAATTAACCATATGTATTCCAGATCTAAATATGCGTACGCACTGTAATATACGATTGGTACGCCTACATGTATGTGTGTGTTAAAAAGTACAAGTACAGTACTTAAAAAGTAGATTGAAAAAAAGGGATCAAAGACATTCTGTACATTCTACAAACCTACTTTCGATTTCAGTAACATTTGGCCAGGTTAAGCAAAGTACATGATATATCCTGAGGGTCTGACTTGCATAACATAAGAAACGAAAATGCGGAGCCAAAAGAAAAGCATTAAAATCCACCTCTTTGTAACAGCTGTGCCGCAAAGCCTAACAGATTCAACAGACACTGAAGAGTTTGGTTTCAGTTTTGACACCGACTCTTGCACAGGTCTGGGAGCCCAGTGAAAACAGCCGACAAATTTCAGAGAATATGAACAGAAACAGGATCTCAGTTGCTCACTTTAGTCTACTCAGGTTATCACGACTTGTTCGTAACAAAAACCCTGGGAATCATTCCGAATCAAGAAAAAAACAAGACTTTTTTTTTGTTGTTCGTGTCAAGGACCTTCAAGTATGCCAAACCCAAATGGGAGTCTTGAACTAACGGTATAAAATCTGTGACACATTTGAATAGTGGAAAAGGTCACAAAGAAATTCAATTTATCTTCGTTATTACATGTACTTCACTCCCTTGTCCTGCAGAATTCAGTAAAAAGTGTCACAAAAGATTTCACAGGTGTATGTGTGTTACACAGCCCAAGGGGAAAAATACCTCCATTACTAAATTTACATGACCAGCGCTCCAGGTCTCTTTTATCAATCAACCTTACATTCTAACAAGTCAATGTTGGCACCTTGCTTCATCCTGTCTATATCGGGGAGGTATTAGTTTTCACTCTTACTGACTTATGGATGACGGTACAGAAAAAGAGGCCAGAGTCAATCAAGGATACAGAAAGGCTAAGAAAGGTTCCGTGGGAAAACGCCACACTTACCTCAGGCCGTTGCACGTGCTCAGAGCAACCCGGGAGGAGTTCTTGCCGCGGACTTCGCCGTGGTAATAGCAGTGATGCTGCAGAGGGGAGACATCCAGTGAAAGTGCAATGTATTCAAAGAGCAACAGCTATGTCTGAAAATTCTGGCTATGGATGTCACGGACATTGGGACTTAAGGAAGCCTGTGGCTAGCTGAAGCCACTTCCCTCAGATTGCAGATGGTGACTACAGGCTGGAGTGAACACTTTAATAAACAGACTCAATTCAGCCAACAACTAAGAGCTCAGTGATGTCTCTGGGTACATTTTTTTTAATAAAATTTCCTCACAGACATCATGACCTGGCATCCTCTACCATTAAAATCCCTACCCTAACTGTCAAGAAGAGAACACCAAATTGCAAAATCAGTGACCATTACCTAGAGGTGGAAAACCTGTGAATATTACACTTAAATGTACTTCTGATTACTTTCAATTTGAAAAAAAAAATGCAGTCAGGACAAAAATAACCATGAACATCACACACTGAACTTTCTTCAAAATATCTTTTGTAAAATATCCATGGTAATATTTTAAACTGTGTTCAAAAGTGAGTGTTTTTTCCTCCAAAAGTTGGGAGCTTCTGCATTAAAAAGAAACAAGGCTTTCCTGAGTTTCTGTCAGATTTCGGGGTTCACAGCCCAAATGATGAAACTCATAAGTCAAAAGCATGCCATTCCAGGCAGGATTCGAACACAGGTCGCAGAGGTGGAAGGCGAGGAAGTAAAGTACCCCGGCGTCAATATGACTCCGAGATATGGGTCGTGTACTGCACACATGTGCACTCTTCAGAAAAAAAAAATGTTTTCCGGCGGCATCCTTTGGACTCACCAATCTGTGAGGTTTCCTGGTCAACAGCCGTCCATCTGGCAGGTAAGAGCGCTGGATGAAGCGGGCTGGAAACAGGTCCCTGGATAAAAGGGAAAAGCACAGGAGGATGGACAAGGTTACCAGCTACAAACCAAAAAAAGTTGGGGCGCCAGTTTCCCAACTTGTTCGAAACTGCCTGCGTTTTGCCCTTCACTAACAAAGCTGAACAAGCACTGTTCATACTATATACACGTAGGTGTACTCAGTGCAATCCCGGAGGTCACTAGGGAAAAAAAGCTCCCAAGGTTACCCAAGTGGACTCCAACCCATGACCTTCGACTTGCAATTGCACATACTAGCACTGTGCAGGCATTTTTGTCAATACCTTAAATCAACCCCAATGTGACACCCAAATCAGAATTCCTGTCTGCTTCCTCTTCCCTAAACACAGAACAACTCTGAATAAATTGCCCGTTACAGGGCAATTCAACCATAAGTAGCCCTAGTATCTTATTCCATCATGGTGGTTGGTATTGCGCTCGTGAGATAACCTGCAAAGTACCGTAGTTACATTCCTACATGTAAGGTACATGCATGTACACGTGTATACCACAGTAACTTTCCTGCATCTCATGTACATGTACCGTTTACACATGTACATGCAAACCTGTGTATAATTAGCCCCTCAACTAAAAGACCTTTCTGTTGTACTTCTACAATTCGCATGAATATAAAGTGTTTCCCCTCCCCCCACTCAACATTTTTTCTCAGGCTGTTTTTCCTCTGCTCAGCCTAAAATTTGCCCAATCAGCCCTGTTTCCAAGCAGATATGGCTCACTTTGGAGGGCTACACATGATTACTTACATTTACTGCATATACATACGACCATGAAATGACAGAGTCAAGGCTTTTTGAGAGTGCTGTCACCACACAGAGGGAGGTCAACATGGACTGATTGTTTGTCAATCTGTCCATGTGGCTCCGCTTGCCCAATCCGGCCCCAGCTTTTCCCACGATTCCCGCTAACCAACATCAGAGTGAAGCTCCAAACACTTACTCGTTCAACTTCAGGTCCACAGTGATTTCTTCTCTGCCCAACTGCAGCACAAATGTTGCCTCCTCAAGGTGTCCCCCCTGAAAATGACCATGCAAAAAAAAATCCCTAAGTTATGCGAACATTTTCAAAGTGTACTCAAGCATGTAGCCACCAGAGTTCAATGCGTCTTGTGGTCATACATGTGCACGGGACTTTCAAGTAGATTGTTCAACTGTCCATGGTTATTGCTCATGAACCTGATGTGTAACTGCCAAACTGACCAAGGCCTTGCTTGTTAATGAGACTTTTATCAGCTGCAAAGAAGATTTAGGGCTTACAATCAAATTGTTATTCAAACAAGAATGCCATCGTTATCACAATATTATACCCCAGTGGAAGAAAAATGGCGTCAAACAATTTACAATGTTTTTAAACCACTGTTTGGAAAAAAATAGCCCTGTCATTCATCACACTGACGAATTAAGAGGTATCTCTCCAGTTCCACCAAAGTAACGTCATCTTAAGGGGTTAGATTTGACTCAGGGGAGGTACATGTATAAACCGGTACACAGATATTCCTTCTTCTAAACTGTTACTTCCAACTTGTACGGTACGTACATGACATGTAGGCCTACATGTCCATGTACTTATCACACCGGTACTTTTAGAAAACAATGTATGCTATCACTGAAGAGTACTGTTCAATACAAAGGGAAAAGACATAATTATGTCAAGAGGAGAAAAGGGGCCCGCTGTACTCCCCCCAAAAGTACATCTCAACCCACGGATGGAGGGCCCTTCCAGTCAAGAGCTTCCTTTTGATTTAATGCTCCACTTCAAAATTTGACTCTTAGTTCCATGTACATGTGTACTCCACTTCTGATTCGTCTCCGGTTACATTTCCATTTCCGGCAGAGATGCGCATCGCCAAACAGCCTGCAACATGAACCAACATGCATGCCTGCCCCACTTTTCCCAACTCCACCACATTATTTTGTCAGCCCCAGTGTAATCAGCAGCCAGGCTGACAATCCCAAGGACGAACTGACACTGTCAGGCATTAAATTGTTGGGGACCAGACCGGGACTCTTATCAACACCGACAAATAAGGCAATTGTTTCGGTGGGGGAGGGAGGGGCATACACATGTAGATCACAGTCACAGCATTGTTTCAGGCTGAGTGGCCTGACCCACATATCCCCCGGATCATTTCCTGTTCTCCACACTGAAAAACCACCCCACATCAACCCATCCAGAAACTCAGCCTCACTACACACCATCACAGTCCAACCACCACCAGGCTCCACAGTCAATTAGAGAATTGTTTTAAATTAGCCAATAACATTATCAGCGACACATGTAAGCTTACAGTGTACCAGTACTAGTGCTGAGAGAATCTTGAACCTATCGCCACTGGACACATGGTCACCGTCAGTACATTGTACATACTGTGCTGTAAAAAAACACTGCTGATTTCCTTTCATGCAAAGGTGCAGTTGGGAAGCAGTTTAATTAAGTTTATTAGAAGAGATGGAAGCATTTGGGTCAAAGAGGACAACTGCTGTGGCATACACAGAATTGATGATTCACTGATAATGAGAAATACAATGGGCAATTGATGTACCCGAACTGACTTGCATTCCATGAAACGAGATGACACGCAATAGTTTAGTGTATCAGGAGTGATCAGTATGGAGCAGGCTGCAATGTACATGTACATGTACATGTACCGGTACACTGTACAGACATGTACATGTACAGGAAACTTACATGTACAACTGAATACACTGTACATGGACAATTCTCGTGGACATACATGTACATGTACCGTACCTACAAATACGGCACTGAGGTTGTACGAAGGAGAAGCCCTGGCTAGAAATAACTTGAAATAAAGTAAAGAAAATTAAAACAAACCTGAGGGGGGGGCCTACATGCAAGTGTTAATCCTAGCCCCCCTCCCCCACCACCTCCTTACCTTCCATCCAACAACCTGTGCCATACATCGTACATTTTTTCCAAGATTCATTTCACATCTCCTTTGGTATGATTTGGACAGCAGGGTGCAAGTGAAAGTCGGATAAATTTTAGAAACTGCATGTGTGTGATCACAAAAAATGTACAACACTGCCCTACATGTACGGTAGATGTGCAAGGTTGGAATTTGTCTGACTTTGAAGGACTTGGGACGCATACACGTACACGGGCCTTTATGTTTCTGGGTTTTGAAAGACAGGGGAAAACTAATCAGTGCACGAAGTCATGCTTCACTTGGTCACGACCTACTGGGCTCGCAGCGTGCATTATTAATGACACGGTGCAGTCTTTATCAGAACAGTACCGTAAAGCGGGGAGGGGGGACGGTTCAATACGTGTACTGTCAATGTTCATTTACTGTCAGCACTTTCCTCCAGGGGGTATACAGACTGCCTCAATTTCAGTGCTTGGGTGGAAGAGGGATGAGATTTCATCGCGAGGAGGAAGACGACTTGAAATGGAGGTGGTAAGCTCCGATCACAGATTGCCCCGTGCTTGGATGACACAATATTAGACTGGCGGCAGATGCACCCGGTGAAAACAGGAAATGCCCATCAAAGCTCCCCAAATTGCATTGGTAGATACCGCCGGGAGCGGAATAGGTGGACAAAGGGGTGCCCATCACCCCCACCCCTCCCTCGCCCCTCCCCCACCCCCAGCAAATAATCCCCCCCCCCCGGCAAACAAAACTCTGGATCTTCCCTGTGCAGGCAGCAGCAAATACACAACCTTACATGCACTTACATTGTATTTCATATGCTACAGGAATATAAATGCTTAGTCGTGCTCAGGTCCATAGAAAGTCTGTTTACAAAATAGTATGCATGACGTATCATGAGAAGGAATCAAGTTGTGGCAGGCCAGCCAGCCAGAAGTAGACTTTGTCCTATGATGACTGTGTAATCTTTTGGGGGCAGCCTGTGAATTGCACCTGTTTACACAAGTATCACAGGCAATACCCATGTTCCAACGACTTGTTGGTTTAAAACTTCTTTCAATGGTAAACACCTGACCTTTCCGATCATCAGAACACAGTTTCAGTTATCAGGACAAGACTTTTTCGTCATTTCTGACCTGGAAACCGCTCTGCCTCCAATGCAGATCCTGGTTAAGTGGAAAATTACGGGTGCTGCACGTGCGCACCACATCGGATATGAACAGAAGTCCTAGGTTTTTCATCTCTGGATTTGGGCTCTTTCCCTCATCTCGTACATTTACCAGTATGCGCTGTTTATTCTTACTAATGTGCTGTTTCATGTCTCCAAAATGAGAGGACACTGATTTAACCATGTAAACTTATTTCTTTCCTCAATTTCCAGTGTTCTGATAATTAGTTTCAATCATGTAGAAGCCTTTCAACAACATTTATAGCCTAACATTGCCTAAATGGATGATTAATGGTGTAATTTTCAAAGATTGATTAATTACTTTCAGCACCTGACAGTATATTTTTATGCCAAGTACCGGTACATGTAGGCCAGCCTTTTGACCTTGTGGCAATGCCATATCCTACGGTACAAAAACAAATTTGTTTGGAACTGGACATATTGCCACACACCATACCAGAATGATTATAATATAAATTAAAGTCATAATTGTTGAGGGTACATGTAGGGGGGGTTCAGAGTGAAGCAGATTAGTATAGACTGGTAATTCTGTCCCTGCAGTATGCTCCTACCAGTAGGTAAAGCATAGGACTGAAAGGGCACACCGTCTAGATAAAAGTTGTACATACTTTTCAGTGTGTGTCTTGCTGAAGTCTCGGATATAAACGTGGGAGGTCGAGGGTGACAATTTTGTGGTGTTACGAAGTTGTACAGCTCTAGCTGAATTTCAAGAAAACTAGCACAGTTTGAAAATGATGTGTGGACAAGACTTTTGTGAATGTCCGTTTATTTTTTTTTTCCTTCTTTTTCTTTTCTCAGAAAAATGACTACCAAATGTCAAGCCGTAGTGGGAGATGTAATTCTGTTGCATAAACTGGCCAGTGATTTGGCAAGAAAACATGCATTTCGCTTGAATCGGTGTCGGTCTGTTTTGCAGTAAATGGAAGGTGATTTTTGGCTTTCGGTGAGTCCAAATTGGGCATGCTAGATAATGCCCTAATGACAAAAATGAACCAGTACCACGGAAATTGGTCCATCCCTAAGATGGACCAATGAAAACTGTCCATTTTTCAGATGTTCAAAAGGCAGTTCAATTTGATCTGCACAGTAATCAATATTGTGAAAAGAACAAAATGTAAAAATCAAGTGAGAGTCTACTCCGCACTTCCTCCCCCGATCCGCAATCTTTCCTGCGAAAAGCCCAGCCTTGTTTCTCTCTGTCAACAGGAGTCTGCTGATTGCCAGCTGATGACAGAACAGCCTTTGAAATACATCACGGCCACTACCCATATGGCCACTGGTTCAACCTACATGTATTTACTCTCTGCTAGCCCCAGGACTCTTGTTGGAGAGAATATTTTCGAGCCAAAGCTTCCATGTTTGGGGCTTTTTTTTGTGTGTATAATTTCCTGTTCACTGGGTTGGGCAGGTTTAAGTCATTTCTTTAAATAGCAAATCTGTAAACATCACCAGCCTAAATGATGAAATTACTGCGGGTGTTTAATTTTTTGCGACGCAACACAAAATCATGTATGAACAAAACTTCCTATTTAGAATTTCTGAAGTTCCTAATTTGTGGCATCGCCGGGCAACACTCCCCTCTCCCTTGCCTAAGCCACTGTTCCTAACTGCAAGTCTCCTGTTTCTCTAGAGTCCCTAAGTCATTCGGATACACCTGTTGTCCAGAACTGGTAACTCAGAGAGTTGTTTCTCTTTGAGTCGTTTCTCTTGAAAGAAAGATCAAAACTCTGGGCAGTCACTTATGGTGGACCTGAACTTCAGCACCACTGGCTAACGCCTGCGGGAAAACAGCAACCATTCTGGAAAGATCTGGATGTAAACAACTGGCACACGAGCACGTCTCAGATTGGGGCACTGTTTCTCCTCATTTTTCATTCCCTTTTTTCTCCTTTGTTCCACGTGGGAGGAGAAAACACTTTTCATTATCGTTAGACGCCAATCCCTTCATTACGATGACTGGACTTCAATTTGGCAGCTGAAACAGGGAGAGAAAACCGTGGGAGTGCTGCGTTGGGATTACACAGCCATTTACATGGGTCAAAATGCTATGATGAAAAGGCTTGAAAACAAGACAACCAACACCGTGTCAGTGATGTCTGACGGGGAAAAAAAATGATAAGATCAAGCCTCTGCAATAAATCTCCAGTTTCAAACTAACACCACATCAGTCCAAACTAAAATCACATCAAATCTACGCACAGACGTTGACCAGTTGCATGTACATGTATACTAGGGCGGGAGCACATATGGGCAGGTCTTCCTTGCAACTTCTTCTGTCCCCACAACATTTTTGGTCCCTATTAACTCGGTGTAATGACAAGTGTTTGTCCCCACAGCTATGGAACATGTACAGTACGTGCATACCGTACATGGATAGGCCTGGGTGTCCCAAAATTCATTACAGCCACCGTAAAACAGCATCTCTGCAATTCACAATCACGGTGCACCGACCAACTTAGTTTCACGAACAGAGAGATCATTTCTCAGTACAGTACATTACAGGGAAATGCCAACAAACTGTACTCATTTTCCACAAGACTCGGCAGCTGTTGAGTTTTCAGGATTTCAGCAATTCAAGGCGGGATTTTTGTACCCCTAATATTGACAAGCTTACATGTACATGTACATAAAAGGTTAGCAGGTGTACGGCACATAAAGCCGGCTAGTGTACCACACAATGCAGGAGGTACGTGTACATGTACATGTCATGTACATGTACTGTACATGATAATTGATTGAGGGCAGGCAAAATGTCAAGCCCAAAGCTGCAAAAATGGACTCTTTGGGGTCACCCTCAGTAAGCAATATCTCAACATCAAATAACAACATCAATCATGTCAACCACCCATGACAAGTCTCGGAATCTTACACTGCGCTAACTTTTTAAATGGAGGATTCCAAAAGGGTTGAACTACACACGCACCAGTACACAGCATGAGAAAAATATCTGAAGCCAGCACCCAAGTGGTGCATTGCTATGATTTATGAAATGGCAACTATACTTGACACCAATGGTGACCATTGGATGAACCAAAATCAATTATTTCAAGTGAACTTGTAATGCATGTCAGTTTACGAAATACTTGCCTATTGCTACAGTGGTTCATCTCAGAAAAAAAACATGAGGCTACATGGCTTTTAATTGGTCCCTCTACTCTAAATGCAATGTGAGTTTTGAAAAAATACATAAATGTAGGCCTAAACTTAATCTCCAGGCGAAATCTGAAATTTAGAAATTCACGAGAAAATTTCCTCATCTGAAAATCATGATTGGACACTACAGTTGGACCACTGCATCTTCCCTCCCATTTATGTTGAGAGGAGTAGCTCCTCCCATCCCCCCATGTACAGCTCTAAACCCCCCCCCTCCCCAATAATTACAAAACTACCCGTACACCAAACTCTGCTAACTTGAGGATACAGGTGTCCTGTACACGCAGCCCATCTGTCCTGTAGACAAAAATCTCATTGCAAATAAGCAATCTTCTCAGTAATCACCTGCACAGGAGGGTCGACCCATTTGGTTAGTTCAACTAGCTACAGGTCATGCTACATAAATTAGGGGTCCACTTTTTTGTGTGTGTCCCTGTCACATCTGACATACTGTACATGTAGGGTACATGTACAATGCATAATGTATGATTATTAAAGTTCAGAACACGTTCTCTGATCTCCAAGAGTCACGAGTTAGTGCAAATCACATGTGCCTGCCAAACAAATCCAAATAGTGTGAAACCAATTTAAGTGATATTTCCATGTCAAATTACTCAGGTCAGATGTAACAGTAACAAAGAAACAGTCACACGTTTGGACCCTGAATTTCTAGAATGACCCACATGTAAGGGCTAGTGTGAACTGTCACTTCCTGGGCCAGTTGCATCTGGATGCTCCCAGAGCGCTGTCCTCCAGTCACCCTTGGGCCTGGCAGATCATCTGCCTGACACTTGGCCACCTCCAGGAAGTCAACTCCGATTGTCAGACCGACTGACAAGGAAGACCCAGATAAGAGTGGGTTGAGTTCATGGCCTAGTGGACTCAGCGTGACCTTGGGGAAATTCAACAATTCAAAGGTGCTAATCCTAAGAAAAATAAAACCAACCCACAAACACATGCAGAGCACTGGTGTTGGTGCATGTATGCTAATCACAAGCTTCCTAACTGTGCACCCACATAGGGTACATGTACAGTGATCCTTGTTACCAGGGTACGGGGTCAACACATGTTGACATTCATAATGTACATGTGTTATAGGGATTAAAAACCTTCCTCAGGGGCAAGATCGGAGGAAACTGAAAACTCCACAGAATAATCACCGGAGGTTTTGAGGGCCCCTCAGCAGTAGAGGATCAGTGGTATACATGTACATTTGTGTTTTAGCCTAAAGGCACCCCTTAGCCAGTTAACGGCCAACTTTTCATCTCACCCAAAAAAGCTGCTGGGGGGGGCAGGTTTCTTTACCTGCAAATTCTTCAATCTTGCAATTACACTATGACCCAACCAAGCATGACACGTTAATACGTTAACCACAAAAATAAAAGAATTCTTTAATGAGTGTACCTGCCCTACGTTCCCCATGGAACAAATTAGGAATATTATGTGTGTTTACAGTTTACACGTCATCCGTCGTCAAGTGGTTAAAATACTTATTTCCTGTGTTCTACATGCATATCGACTGCTTAACATAAAACAATGTAATTGTAAACACATGATTTTCCAGATTTTAAAAGAGACTGCATGAAAAATGCTGAAATCCTGATAAAATAAAAATACATGTACTGAAATCGAGGGGGCTGGGACCTGACAAATCTCACCCCTGCTTTACTAGGACATTTTCTGTCCTCACAATTCGGTGCCAACTTCCCCAATAAACGGATCTGTTCCCTAAATGCAGTGAAAGCCTGCCCGCGCTGACAAACATCAATCTACAACGTGAAGCTTTCAACATTTTCAAATATCTGCTGATGTGTCTTTGAAATATTAAATCTTTAAAATGGAACACAAAACCCAGGCAACCCATTATTTGCCGGTGAAGAGTATTCCGAGATATTACAAAGGCCTGACAAGTATGTGAACTGAAATTTACATTTATTTACCCTCTGTAGAAACACACAGAAACGACCTTTGATTACACGCATAACAAATAACTACCGGTACATACAAACGCACCTCTGTTTATTCAATGCGTCCTAGGCCAGCTGCACTTGAACGTGCTCAATCCCTTATTTTCAATCAACACAACAAATGCATGTACTGTTTACGAAGACCAGCAGTCCTCATGGATACATGTACATGTACATGTATACGTACATGTACATGTACATGTGTTAGTTAACATATCCTGCATGCACCCACAGTATGGTATATCATATGTACCGCTACATGTACACATGTACATGTATGTACATGTACATGTACATGTGTTGCAGCCTCCTGACACCATTTCAGGTGCAAAAGTAGCTGAGTAGGGTAAATCTCAAAACATCCTCAGACAAAACGGAGTCCTCGTCACGAACCACACGTAATTACATTCTCTCAGCCAACACACCAGAGCATTTTTTTAGGCCAACCACGTGATTTGTGAGTCATCCTTCGTAAAAGGAAAGTCCTGCAATTAATTTTAAGCCATGCCCCAATAAGGACTACATGTACACACGCCCCTCGCTCATGGTGGATAGACAACCGATGTTAAACGGAGTCCAGATTTTTTACAGGTATTTGATGATAACCATTCAGCTCCTGTGACAACATGAATTCAGTAAAATCTGAACTGCACTAATTTCTGAAGAATTCGGTTTTCAGACTCTATACTGAGAAAAAATGTAAGTTTCACCCCAAGGACAAGCGTACATGTACATGTAGATGTTGGGAAAGAGAGCTGCATGCACGTACATTAGGCAAATGAAACTTACTGCAACTGTATTTGTACTGGATGGCAACTTGAATGTCACTGAAATGAGTGACCCCAGGGGTCAGGATATCCATTAATTCAGTATTTTGGCAGAATGTCTCTCTGAACAAACTCTCTCCAGGGTCAACCGCCCATGGATTTCTTCACTTTCTTAAGTCACACATTTTCAGCTACTGTACATTTAGCTAAAGCTAAAAACCTTCCCTTTTTCCCTGGAGAAAACTATGCAGAATGTGTCAATTATTTCCTTCCAAAGCACCTAGTGTTTAGCAAATAGCGTACGACTGAGGCTGAGAGGTATACAATGTACATGAATAATGCATATTTTATGTACATCCTCAATCCGAATACATCTCGGTCATTTGAAAACATAAAAACACCTGATTCGTCTGAATAGGGTTTGCATTCAGAGCAGCATTTCACTTCTCAAGGTTAATCTGATTTATAGAATTTCTCCTACTACCACAAGGCCTGTGAGTGGAAATCCCGGGCAGATGAGAAGGCTGGACTCTTGGTGTAATGTAAGCCCCTCATGCGTCACAAATGCAGATTTCACACAAATGCACTGTGCAAATTCATATCTGTGCAGTGTAATTTTTACCGCTGAGCAAGGTTGTTCCAAAACCATAGGAAGGTGAACTGTGTGTTTGATGTATTTTTAAAGTAATTGTTTGCAAATTTTGAATGTAAATACATGTATTAAATCTGCTTCAGTCACCATTTCAATTCAAGACACAAATCCTCTTCATAATTCTGAGTGCTCTCTGCTCAAACAGAACTTTAGTTATTTCGATTTTAAGGGATAATCTGTGATGCTTTTAGAGAAAGGAAAGAAACCTATGACCAATGTATCACAGGGAAGCTTCAAACAGTAATTGTTTAAAAAGTCACTGGGTTTGGGGTATATGAGACGAGGCCTAAAAATGTGAGCCCCCCTGATTTACCTCTGTCAGAGTTTCAGCGTCTCTTCGCTGCCGTCCATCAAGACGGTACGGTATTGTGATGTCATAATTGTTTAATTTCCCGAGTTGTTTTGCCCTTCCTGCCTGGTAGCTCCATTCTGTTGGAGATAGGAGAAAGAGGAAATGAAAAAAATGAGAACAACAGTTGGCAGCCGTCGGTCTTTCTGAAGTGTTTACCACCGACAGGGACGGGATAAAAATACCCTATTCCACTTTTCAGAAATTATGCGGGAGCCCACATCGTTGCAGGAGATAACCTGCTATCTCTCCAACAAAACCCTCCTTAGTTTGACAAAATTTGCACGTTTTTTCCCTCTTCTTCGTTGTGCTAGGAGGGTGGGCAGTGCCAGCAATGCCAAACTGTTCTTCCGTGGCCTACAGGTAACACCTTCGGGTACAAACTTCAAACCCAAGCAACGCGAACCAATGATCCCGTTTACACTTTATGCAAGCCAAATTGCCAGACTGTTCATACATGCACATGTACAGTTAGTCTACTGTGCATTTGTACACATGTACACAGCACAACAGTTTACAATTCAAGGACGCTGTTTTTTTGTGTTCTTCGATACGTGTGGCGCATACAATACAGTGGTTTACGTCACAAGCCGTGCATGACTGGACCCATTACATACAGATGCCTGTGCATGTGTTTCATGTAAGCCCATCCTTTTTGTGGCAAAACGAAACGGGAGAATGTGTCATCGAGGAAACAGATGGTGCATCCGTTTTTTTTTTCATCGCTGTTATATTTTCACATAAAGAATCTTTCCCCACTTGATAAATGTACGGGAAAAAATGTTGCATCCTGACTCCACTTTTCTCATCATATATCATCTCAATAAAAGTCAGTCATTACAGAAATGCTGGACAGACACAAATTCTGGACTGAGAAACATTGACCGATGTTGTTGGGAAATACTCAGAAAATTCTCTTCACTCCCCATAGACTTTGTACACAACTGCTGAAGTGGGGTCAGGATGCAATGTTTTTTCCAAATATACTGCCACCAACTCCAGTTCAGGGTTTGAGGGTTCCTAAGCCGCGTTTGTTACGTGCTAAAACAGGAAATGCTGTCAGCTAAACTATGGAGCCCCAACATTTGTTAAGCACTTACATGTATGGGCATGTATCACACAGCAGTATATGTACAAGCCGGTAAATTTGTCTGAAAAATAATTGGGGGAGGGGAATCTTTACAAATATATTTTTAAACATTGGTGGGGGGCATGAAAATCCAGGCAGGCAATGACGTGAACCCAAAAAGGAATATTTTTAATGACCTGAACACTTTTTTCAATCAAGTATCGTAAACCTCTGAATCTCTACTTTTTGCTGTAAGTAGAAAATATTCTTTCCGCGTTTGAAATCTTTGCCCCCTTTTGCAAAACATTAAAAGGCCAAAGTGACATCACATTGTGCGTGGAATACAATTCATCACGAAGGTACAAGTCATGCAAAGACTTATTGGAACATAACAATTTTCGACTGTTGCCCATCAGGGTTTTAAATGGGACAGCTGTTCAATTTAAATCAGGCCTAAGCCCCATTTTAAAGTGGAAAGGGGTTTCAGTCATGTCAGTACATGGGAAACAGGTTGAAATGGCTGGGTTAGCTTGCTGATTTGGTTTATCATACTGATGGTAGGAGAAATTTGTGTTGGTCCAATGCAGAATTTTCCAAACACTGTCATCATTTAGAAGTTGATTTTCATACTTTCAATCTCTCGGATTGAAAGACCAATGAAGTCATGTTTAAGTCGCCAAGTATTAAAAAGAGGAAATTAAATCCCTGTAAGGCTGTAGTATGAGCAGACGTTTACACTCCACACATTAACTTCAGTCCACAGCAAAATGCGCATGTGGGCCTACATATACGAAGGCTCAGCGTGTTCATATTGACTGAAAATTGACAAAATTTGCATACAAGCGTGCGCCGTGATTGATAAAATGATACTGGAGCGAAACTCCCTCCAGACCATCCGTGCAATGGAAGCCTGGGTCGTATTTTATGAAAACTGCCGCCTCACGATTTTCAATTTACAATGTTGGCTAATAGTAATACAGAAGTGATAGTTACTCACCTGATGAGGGGTGTGCATGTACGTTCAGTCCCGCAGAAACAGTAAAATGTGATATGTAGAGGGTCAGAAGAAAAGGAATGTACCCGCGTTGCCACATCTTTGACGCAACTACTCAGTATTACATATATGCCTTCGGATGGACCCAATACCGCCGTTTCCAATGCTAATCCACCCAAGGCCACACTTTCATGTACAAACACGACTCGCACGCACGAGCGCAGTCAGCTGTATACTGTGTGTGTTGCACAGCGCTCCTTGGACGTATACCATCGATGGAGGGCGCTAGGTCGACGCGACGGTCGCAGTATGCGCGAACTTCGCTCGGAAGATGGGGGGCGGCCTCGACACGATGCGAGGGTTGCAGAGGCAGATTTCAACCGGCAAGGGCTGTAGAGAATTTATGGGAGAACAACTTACAACACGCTAATAGAAGCAAAATCTGGACGGCAAATGGATTATCCCGAATTTGGGGTGGTGAAAATGGATCAGAAGTGCAAAGTCAGGACGGTGAAAATAACAATGGACAATAAAGCATTATGAACTGTGCATGTGTCACACGTATGCCAGCCACTGGTGTCTTCTGTGGCATGATTTTGTGAATTGAAATCTATTAATGGAACCAAAAATTCTATTTTATAATCGGGGGACAAAACGATGTCAAGGCACCTGAGTATACTCAGGCTCAATATTGCTTAGGTTGTAAATGTACCTTTGTTTCAACGTTGGGAGAGATATACCAGCCGCGTGTCACGAAGTACTAGTTCTAGCATCGGGATCATCCCCTATTCATCATTCATAACATCAATTTTTGAAAGGGATGGGGGGGGCAAATACCTCCTTGTTTTCACCCAAGAGAATTCAGTTCCTCGTTGTCAGCCAAATACTTTGAGGGTCCATGTACGGAAGCTTATAAGTGCCGCGGTCAATTTTGTTTTAATTGGTGTGCGTGTACCTTTTTTTAAACTGCCATCTCACTGTGGTGAGTTACCATTTGGCTACGGCGAGATTGCATTTAAAAAATAAAACCAAACAAACTTGGCCGTCGTTCTACAATTCCCTATCAGGGCGATTTATGTTTCTCTGATTTTGTGCAACTTTCTGATTAGCGGCTTTAATGTCATAAAGTGAAATTACAACAGTCACCAAAGAAATGAAAAACTTAGACAATGATATATATTCAAAATTCTGGATAATATCGGTGCTGAAATGATTTTTACTATGCGGTTTCCTTCTGGCATGACATCATCATACTACTTACGAAGGTGTAATTTGCATTAGCACAAAACTAAAAATGCTCCAAAAATAACTGAAATATCGCTTGAAAGTGGCAAAGCAAAAATTAAAAGCATATGGTAAATGGGACCCCCCCCAAATGCATTTTACAAGGTTGTGTTAAAAAAAGTACTGAATAGACTCTTAAAGTAAATTTTTAAGACCATTTGCTGAAACCAACTTTTTCTGCTAAATCGACATCCCCTTTTCTTAGCTCTGGCATCGTTCTTGTTCGCGTTTCGCACGGTTATTATTTCTACAGTACGCCGAGTAGCGACAATAATACCTTCGCCTTATCGCATGCTGCAGCCTTCCGAAGAGAAGGGTCGCTGATACCTCGACCTAAAACACACCGTACCTACACGCAGTATTACCCAAAGATTTCCGCTTGTGTGGTCTTTCGTCTCCACAGATAGCTGGTAATGACATGACGCTATCTGTAAGTTTGTAGTCTACCTGATAGGCTTATGGTTTGTTTTTTCAACGGGTTCACTAAACTACTGGCACACTAGTCAAAGTCATATGTTTTCGGCACTCTGCATTGAACTTTGTGATAATTTGAAGCACCACATATCCAGCTAAGTGACTTTCATAGACATGGTTTTTTTTTCAACATTGGGGCTGTGCAACGCACCAACATTTTGGACTGTCTTTTAAAATCACACAGAAAAGGCGTAGCTCCACTTTCAAGATACTAATTCCAAAGTGAGCCAATAACGTTTAGGAAAAATGCACCAAAACCCCGATCTGCTGAATTGACAAATTCTGAAGACATTTAAATTTGTATCCAAGTAGGCCTAAACAAATTAATGTCAGCAAGATTATTAAAATCATCTAATGCCGTCAGCATGAGTGTATCCGTACTGGAGGTTTCTTAATTATTTTTAATGAAGACAATTTTTCAATCACTCAAAGACAGTTTAACGTAGTATCAACAACACTAGATATCAGCTTAGTACCACAAAAATCAATACATATCCTTTCGTTTTAGTAAATACTATTTGGTTGAATCGAAACATCGTCCGAGCTCTCCTCAATTAAACTCAAACTTCTAAAGTACTGCGATGTTGACACTGCTCACTTTCTTTATTTGACCAACTTGGTCCTGGCACCGGTCGAAAGTTTTTCAAAATTTAATCCGTGATCCAGAATCCGTATGTTTGACAAAGTCGCAGGTATACAGCTGCATAGCTAGCAACATAACAGGGCATGACAAACAATTAAACCTTCATAACATTTTATTAACAATTAATATTTTGACCAGACAATTTTGTTGTAAGCCGGCAGCGAAAGATTTCTTACTCATATTATATTGTCTAAGCCTCTTTCAGCTTCCCTGGTTTGCCACACATGCGCTTACAGCAGCAGTAACACAGGGCAAGGAGCACTGCGGGGACCAAAGCCAAGACCGCGAAGATGAAGAGGTAGACATCGAGGAGGTTCCGTTGTACGTAATTCAGCTCCATCACAGCCGGGCGCAGGTGGTCCCCGCCGAACTTAGTGACGTGCAGGATCCAGTGAGCGGCCGTCTTGATCGGGGGAGACATGACCTGCATGTCCCGCATGATCATGGATAGACGCCGTGCGTTGTCGCGATATCTGTTCATGAAAAAAACAAAAACAAAAACAAAGACATCAGAGTGGTGAAAAGAGTATTAGCACACCTTTTTTCATCACGGTGGTTAGGAATTGAAAATTCAAGAAAGTCCAATATTCGGATGGATAGTGGATACGAAGTTCTCACCCCAATATTCTTTCCTATAAATTAATCCAAAATTTGACTATTTTCTGAGCCTTGTTCAACGCTGCTACATTGGCAAAATGTGTGCCAGGTTAAATACTTCATGCAAGTGGTTAAAAGCTCAACCAGTGCGGACGTTTGAACACTTTAAGCAGTTAAGGTAGGTTCACCGAGCTGTGAGATTCCTATGCATAAAAATTGGTTCTTCCAAGGTGCTCTTCACGAAACCTCAGAAGAAGAATTCATTTTTAATGTGCCATGCGGTTAAGAGCCCTTAATTAATGTATCGTCAGGTTTTGGATGTTGTTACTGTTATTCACTTACGTACTCCAACATACCAAAAAGTCACATTTACATCAAAGGAACTTCCCCAAACTCAGTGTGATGAGAATTTATGCGTGTAGAGTCCTCAGGTTTCGAATGGAAGGGGAAGGACAAAAATTGGATTTTTTTTCTGCAAGCGATTGTTCAAATACATGTATTTTTCTGTCGCACAAGAATCGTTACCCCCAAAGAAAGGTGCTAGGTTCGTTTCTAAATAAAACTTGTAGCATACCCTGGGTTGCGCCTCAGCCCCGGTGGACAGGCCTATGCCATTTTATCAAAGAGCCACTTGAATCTGCATCGTGGGCTTCTGGGGAAGCGGTATAAAACCGCCCTTCCCTGTGCATAATATGCATGTAGATAACCGGCTCAAAGATCTCTGCTTAATGATCTTTGCTGGAAGTTTTCATGATTAACGATTAACTATAACATCAGTTGGTCAATATTTGCATTCTCGTTAACTGATTGATTGCCATAAGAAAGTCATATCTATTTTGACTTTGGTCGTCGTGCCAAAAAACAAAATGGTTCCATTCTCAAGTGCGATAAAATGTTATTGATCGCCTCGGTGTACGCGTATGAAAGGGCTCACAGTTCAAAGAGGCTTTTTTTCGGCCTTTTATTGTTATTTTGCATTATCCAAGAAGGTCAATTCACCTTGGGTTGTTACTGACTTCGTGGATAGTCCGGCTAAAGATCTCCGGTGTCAAGGTGGTGATATCAAGTGCCATCCCGGCCCCGCGGCTTTCCAATCTGTCGAAGTTATCCAACTGATCCTCAAAGATCGGCAGGCCTACCATTGGCAGTCCGGCCCAAATCGCTTCACACATTGTTAAACCACCGCCATGGCTCACGTACACTTTAATACTGGGATGCTCTGAAAGGAAAATGGCAGCGTAACTATAATAACAGGTGTAAGGTCTCTAGGACCGTATCCAAGCAGAGTTGCCCAAGAGAATCATATGCAGACCCCCCCAAGGCACCTTAGTTAATTAAAACAAAATACTCGAATTAAAATCTAGAATTCTCATATAAGCGACCGTTCCGAATTATATAAGCCCGAGTGCATATCATTTGGGATTTTTATACCCTCACCTGGCATTGCATTTTGCTTCGATTAAATGTGCGAAAATTTTAACTATACGTACTGTCCTTGCAGTTTACAGCCTCAGATTTCATACATAGGTCTTTGATTGCGAACTGCTTTCCAGATCGAATAGATTGGGATTTTCTTTCCTTCATTTTGTCGACTTGTTTCACAAAAGTGCGCCTCCAAGAGTTTGCGACGCGTTGGTCAATCGCAATTAACGCGCGAAATCTGTCGACCCTTTCCAAACGCCCACTGGGTGCATTGAGGGCAAGATGAGCAGGAACCAGGGCTTGGAGGCGTTGGACGTGACCAAACAAAGTGTGTAACCTTCCTGCAACCTCCGAAATGATGTTACCGAGCCCGGTGCGCCGAGAGCATTTGAAATGAAGTCAGACCACTGGATGCCTAGTATGCGATACTGGCTCTGCATATGGAAGGCATGGGGACGCTGTTAATCTCTTTTTCTCAGTGTCCAGGTTTTGGCCCCATTGAGGAGGGCAGAAAGCACACAAGTTGAATAGAACCTTAGCTTGACGGGGAGGCTGGCCTTGCTTCTCCAAAGACGGTCTAATTGGCCCATGATGTTGCTGGCGATGCCAATTCTGCGTAGGACATCGGTACTGCATAGACCTGAGGTGGTAATAGTGCTTCCAAGGTAGCAGAAGGACTCAACAGGATCAAAGACATCGGGGCCAAGAGAAACCGGGGCAGGTGAAGGTCCGCCTAGGGGCTGGACCTTGGTCTTAGCCCAAGAGGGATTAAGGCTGATGTAACTAGCTTCCCGTTCAAAGGTTGCAATATGTTCCCCCATCTATCTGGGTCGTCAATAAACAGCGCACCGTCATCAGCATATAGGAGGTCGGTATACCTATGGTTGCCTACATTGATGCCTTACACTCTGACAGAATGGTGCCCATGGCAGCACGGAATAGAGTGGGGGCTAGCACACAACCCTGCTGGACTCCTGAGGAAGTTGAGAAGGAGGGGGATACGTGCCTATCCTGACCTTGGCTTTGGTGTCAGAGTGCAGAGCTTTGAACAGATTCAAAATAGTATTTGGAATTCCCTTTGAGGAGAGGATATCCCAGAGCTAGTTTCGGTCAACAGAATCATAGGCAGCCTTGATGTCTAGGCGACATTAAGCGGGCGATTGTACTTGTGATGGAGTTCAGCGAGTAGATGTAAAGCAAGAATTGCGTCAGATGTGGAGCAGCTGGGAGTGAAACCTGACTGCTGTAGTCTCTGCAAGGAAGCAAGTAGTGGACGAATTCTGGCTAGCAGAATATGCGCAAACACCTTGCCAGGAATCGAAAGCAAGGCGATGGGGCGACAACTTCTACAGGCCGTCCTTGAACCTTTCCCTTTATAGAGAGGTAGAATAATACCATCCTCCCAGTCTGCTAGAACCGTGCCTGTGGACCACACGTTGGAAAAGATCTTGTGAAGAGCACTGCTTATGGGCATCTCAGCAGATTTCAATTACTTGGAGAAGATGCCATCATCTCCTGCTGCACGGCCCAATTTCAACTTTTGGATAACAGCCCGCACTTCACACAACGATGGAGGGTCGCAGTCCAGGTCAGAGACTACAGCTTCAGGAGATGTGGTTGGAAGTGGTCTCGGGGAAGCAGCTGGGACGTTTAGCAACTGGCAGAAGTGGTCTTTCCAGCAGGACAGGATTTCTTCCGACGAGTTGCAGGGAGAGCCGAGGAAACCGAGGAAGGAGTTGAATGCTGGCCAACTCCGCGCAGGTGGTTCACTGCTTTGAAGGCGGGGCGGAGTTTATTCTGTCTCAGACCACCTTCGGCCTCAGAGACGATGGAGTCATACCATGCGTTCAGGTCTTGTTTTGCCTTGGCCTTGAATATCCCCGCCAGACAACGACTCTTGGCACGGTTGGAGCTTAGACGGGCAGTTCGTTCCTGCTCAATGATTTCAAGGGTGCTGTCAGTAAACCAGGGGCGACGCCGGGAACGACGGGCAGGAACAACCTTCTCAGCATCACCAAGAACAGTATCGCCAAAAGCAGCCCAGGAGTCCTCGACAGAGTTGGACAGGTCGTCAAGAGCATCAAAACGGTTACCAACCTCAATAGAGTAGTTGGTTGCCACCAAAGAGTCTGTTAAAAGAAGATGGTGGTCTGGGCGGCGTTTGGGCAGAGATTTCTTTGTGAAAGGATTGATACGAGCCTGAGCGACAAGAAGTCGGTGATCGGTGTTGGCAGGGGCTTCAGCATCGCGATAAACCCGGTAAGACTTCAGGCAGCTCCGGTCGTTGACAAGTATGTTGTCAAGCTCTTTGGCTGTGTGACCGTCATTCGATATTCAGATGAGTCTGCAGATGTTCTTCCGCTTGAAATATTAGCCTGAGGTGGCTAGGCGGTGAGCAAGACAGAAGGAAATCATGCGAATCGAGTTATTATTTACTGTACCGTGGTCAAGTTTTCCAACAACATCTTCAAAGCCAGACCTGTCGGAACCTGAAGGGACAGCTATAGCTTCGTAAATCTTTGTGGCAACTAACTCAGCAAATCTTACACATCCCAAGTTATAACACCTAACGGAGGGGGAAGTTTTCAAATGTAGGGCATAATTCAAGTAGAACTGTAATTTCTAAGACAACAAATTAACACCCACCCATGACTTGAGGCAGTGGTAGCCAGCGCACGACCATGGTGTTGTCAGCTAGCTTTACTCCAGCGGGCAGGGCAGCTGACGAGGATAGCCAGAGCACTCGGTGCGGCAACTGGGCGAAGCCGTCGGCAATCACCTGGGCAATTTCGAGCTCCAGGGCTCCAGTGAAAGTGCCCAGCGAGAACAACACCACTCCACTGGGGGCCGTATCCAGGAACTTCGCTACGTCATCTTCAATCTGAAGTAGGGAGGATGGGGGGTGATGTGGAGTTAAACTTCAACATTTGCTCCTGCATGCCGATGGTACCTTATACCTTAGGCAATATACCGAATACAACTCAGTCAGAAACCTTGAACATTATGTCTACGTCTACATTATTCTTCCACAATGGAAACCAGGCAAATTTCTGTCTATTCAAAGACATTTATTGAATGTAGGCCCTATGACTTTTTCATGTTTGCACTACTTAAATCGTGCAACCTATGGTACCTATGATTTCCATTTTGTCAAAATAGCATTCATCTCAGGGAATACGGGTATAAATATTCATCTGATGCTGATAGTATCTACTGGACAGTTGAGTTTTTAATCACACGCCCTCCCCAGTTATTCGGCTACACTATAGTAACAAGTTGAAACGGAAATCATATGGACTAGTCACAGATCAAGCGAAACCCTCAGCCCAATCTTGCTCTCACATTTTATAATAATTAGAAGGTGATTTTTTTGGGGCCAATTATATGAAATTTTGTGGCAGATATTCTCGTCTCGAATCCGCAAACAGATGATTATTTTCAAGCTAGAGCATATAACGCCGTGTAGAAGCGTAAACTTTAATAATTCGCTTCATACTCGTAACGCTATGAGGGAACTTTGGGGTAATGAGTATTTTTAAAACATCAAGTGAAAGCACTTTAGAAATCCAAAAAGATCCTTAGTTTTACAGTGTATACCGTTGTGCGAGGCGTCGAACCAGCTGTGTAGAGAATGTATTTGGTGTTGGGGTGCAACGGCCGAGGAAAATCCAGTGCCGGACTCCCTTGGAACATGTAAAGCAAAGCTTGCTTGTAGGAGTCGTACGTGTTGATCTCTGGCCGGATGTTATATTTCATTTTCAGCTGATCGAAGCGTCTGAATTCAAACACAAAGTGCCACCAGTAGCGGTAGTAGATGTGGGCCAGGACATTTTGGACTCGCTGGATGAATGTCATCGTATCCGTGAAGCCCAACACGCGCTCGGGGATGTAGGAGGGATCAACCAGTACCCCTGCCCTTAAAAAAAATATTCACTTTTCCACACACAGTTTTTGTTATGTAAACACTGTAATAAGGTCCCCACATCTTGGGCAAAGCTAAAACATACAGAACCGTGGGATGTTAAGCTTAACATTTAACTATGGACACATGGACTGTTATTTGTGTAGACCTCGAAATAAACTTTTTCACTTGAAGCAGAAAATGCAACAGCTGAGTATCGAAATGACATTACACAGACAGGACATAAGAAGGTATTAGCCTTCACTCACGCAATGGGCGTCTTAAATGTCCCTGTTACTCAATCTCAATTCAAAATTCGCACTTACCATATCCCATGTTTCGAGGGAACTGGGTTTACAATGCTGTGGAAGACGAAGGGAATGTTCAGAGCTTGTGCCAAGAGCGGTGGGCAGGGGACGTGATCGTCGGCAACCATCATGTCGAATCTCTCCTCTCGGAGTCGCTGCATGGTCGCATTGTCTCCCAACAAGTCGTCGCACTCTTGTAGCCACATATTCCCTATATTTAGATCGCCGGTCAAGCTACCGTCAGTGATGCCGTGCCCCAGCTGGCTCCAGAAACCTCGCAAGGCACCCGTGGCGACCACTCTGCCGACGTTCTCCATGACGGAATCTCGTTTCTCGGGCGTGTAGGACGAGTTGAACACCACGACAGAGAAGAGATCGGCGTAAGCCGTCCGCAACTTTCGAGTGTTGGAGCTGCTGACCAGAGAGACCACCTTGTGACCTTGTTTGACCAATTCCTTACCGGACATTGTCAAGGATGAGAAGTGGCTGCCTCCCACCATGGAGACAAAGTACAGGAATTTGTACTTTTTGGAAGCAGGAGGGCTGTCCTGTGAATCCATGCCGTGGAGTGATGCCATCAGCGAGCAAAATACGGCCAGTTTCAGAATGGTGACGAGTTTTAAAGACATCTTGTCGCCCGTCTTGCAACAGGGCCTAATGGAGGAAAGAAAAGTGTTTACTCATGCAAACAGGACCACGTGAACTACATCTGAAATTGAAATGTTGACCCTCCCAGAACACCAGGAGATCGCTATTCCAAACCCCCGACGTCAGTGAAATTTGTAGGAAACAATCAGTCAAAACGGATATGGCACCGAGATTGCATCATACCAGACATACACGCCCCACGGACTTAGGGGGTGTCCATAATTTTCATCATTTTCACGAGCGTACAAAAAGTAGACTTCTCACTCGCCCACTCCCCCCTTCCAAAGTGTACATCAGCGGGCAAAAAATGATGATGGATGGCGAGCTCTCTTGCCAATTGGCCTAATCCCCAACTGCCATGGCACGGTGACGTACATTTAAGTGTTGTGGTTAACAGAAGTGTAAATTTCAAATAAAACATTGTTTAAAACAACACCTGAAAAGTCAAGGCTTGAAAAGCAGTGAATACCGATACTAGCAGAGGACAAAACATAACTTGCGTACGTGGTTTAAAGCACGTATCATTTACCCAGGGATGTGCAACCGCGAACGGCCCCAGTGCAAACACATGCGCAACCTTGGTTCCATGCGTGTTACGGCCCGATTGTTACCCCCGCAGGCGCTCTCGACTTTTCTCGAGAAAACTCGCAACCACATGACACGCGTTGCAGGATGCAGCATGTACAGTGCAGCCGTGGTTATGCCGAGACGACGCGCAAACGCGGTGCTTAAATCTATTCGTTTTGACGAATAAATCTTCGTCATTTATCGATTTCAAGCAGAAGCGAAGATTTTATTGAGGCAAAATTCCCCAATTTTGTGGTACACTTGTCTCAGAATGTATAGGATGAAATATCTTGAGCAGCAAATTTTTAGAAAGGGTGTACCCTGATTAAAATATTACAAGAAAACAAAGTGGTTGACAGGAATATATGTTTTATTATTAAAGAAAGTGTTACATAATCCAATTGAATTTCTGCTTTGATATTGTGCCGGCCGTAGCACGCACTGAACCAGCTCAGAGCTTAAGTTGCACATCCCTGGGAAAATGGTCCGTGTTTAAAGGAAGCGGCACGGAGCTAACTAGCAACACCCGCCAAAATTGAAAGTGACCGCCGATTCACACGTTGACGAACCATCATTTTTTCCTATTCGGAAAAAGCGCACACGACGTTTTAACCCGCTCCCCCGCACGGTTTGTACGCTCGTGTATAGGGGAGGGTCTTTTGACGTCACAGTTGTGTTTTCCTGCTAGTGGCTGCTAAAAGTTTAGCCGGCCGTCAGAACAAAAATTAAACACAGTGTGCAAGATCCCCGCAGCTGTACACCAAAGAATAATACTAGGCCCCGATACCAGGCCTAACAAATGAGGAATATACAACCCTCTTTAAATTAATGGGACAAATATACATTTTGACCAAATTTGAGGCAGAATTGAAAACCAACTGAAGGGTTGTAGGCAACATGAGAGTGCTATTTGAACGTTGAAAAAAGTAGGCTACCTTGAAATCACAGCGAAGTACGGTACCGTGAAGCGTTGAAGTGTCTGGAAAACACGCGTTCAACAGTAACAACTAGGCCCTAGAGTCGACTCCTCGTTCTCAAATGCTCTGGAAACACTAGACAATACGTGGGTCTCATACGGTGTGCTATTACGACGCACATTGAAGTCAAAATGCAAGGGCGCCGTTTTGCCGTCACGTTGTGTAGTTGCGTTGCTTGTGGGGAGGCGAAAAATTTGTGTTGTTAATAGCTCATGACCTATGTCTCGATTTTAATCAAGGTTTAATCTACATTTAACATGTTTGAGCATGTGGGTGGTAAACGTCGTGTGTGGGCACTTTTATGGGGTCCGGTGCGTAGCCTGATTTCAACGGACTTTTGAAAATGTGCCACCCAAGCAGCCTTACAGGGAAATACAACCGGTCTGTCGATTGGACGATGGCTATCAGTGCCCACACAGAGCGCGCTTGGAAAGGCAAACGCTTTTCACAATTTTTCTGTGAAAGGAACACAGGGTCACAGTGTCATACTTGCAGAGCTGCCAGCTTGTGACAGCGAATTCGTGAAGGCGGCTCAATGTTTAAAGCTATGACAACGATACGCCAAAATGGCGACACCAGTAAAGTTGCTACCGAAACGTTTGTAATGTGTGGAATATTTGGCCATACCTGCTGGAACCGAGCGAGTGAAAAATGCTCGCCAGTAATTTGTTTTGTATCAAAAAATCCGTACTTTCGATGACATTATGTGTCAATTGTGTGTATGCGGGAGGCAATGATGATTTACATACGAATGTTTACAAAAGGAAGTGGTGACCTCTGGGTCACAGGCCTACAACATTTGGCCATTGAGTCTCAAGCCTGGGCCAAGAGAGGGCTGGCTCTAGGCGTTCTTAATAACGGAGGCTACGTTGGTCGGAACTGAACTTTCCTGGTTCACGAGGGACTAGGAAATGCACGCGACACGGTCGCGTCACTGCCGACAAACTGACCACTTCCGACCAAAACACGTTTCTTTTTAGCCGATGACGGGGTGCTTCTGCTCGAGGAGGATAAAAGCATACACGTATACGACTTGCCCGTCCGAGCGCTTTGTGTGGGCAATAGGCGACGAGTGAATCAGCCGGTCATAATTGCTTGAACTTTTGTCACGGTCCCCTGAACAACAGGGTTTATTCATTGAACAAAAGTTCCATTTCATCAGGCGGTGACGTCATACCTGGTCACTGATGAGCGAGTCTGATCTCAAATTCAAATATGACATTCTGCACTGTTCAGAATACGGCCAGCGTTGCATAATGAGGTCTAAGTAAAATACAGATAATTTAATTATCCGAATTTGGCAGATTTTGCTATTTTGCAAATTTGCAGATTTGCTATTTTTGTTTAATTATTGTCACTGTAAGAAATATTAAATACGGTGTAAGAATTTCGCGAGTATGTGGGCCACTCTTCACTGGGAACATTATGACTACACAAGTGAAGGAAGCTTGATGGACGAAATGCACTACTAAACTAACCAAACGTAATTATAAAGACGAACAAAGAAATTGACTAGAGCTGGATTTGAACCTGCCGCCTCCGGAATATCGTACCGGTGCTCCATCAACTGAGCTTTCCAGCCCTATGTCGGTGGCTCTTCCGAGAGATTGACACAACCTGGGAAGTGGTGGACAGGGATCACTCGAAGAGGACACGGCTTTTTGCACATAAATCATGGTACAAATTTATCATTTGTTTTCATGACAAACATAATTAAGTGTGTATAATAGCTCCATGGTGTAACAGAAACGTTTTACACAAATCAAGATGAGAATGTATCCCGGGGACAGGCTGACCACTACTGACTTGAGTGGGTCACGCCCATCGCCTTATATAAGCTTTGGTCTAAGCGAAGTCCCAATCAAAGCTGGCATAGGTTAAATAGTGTACATAACACAGTCATTATTTATTTATTTACTATTGCTTATTTGAAAACTATTGCCGAATCTTGTTTTGGATTAAAGTCACTGCAACATATAGGTTGCAGTCATTACCAGATACGTATAAGGTACTTTTCCTTTACATTAAACATGAGGACCATTACTTTTAACATTATGCTGTTCATTACCACATTACAGAGCTGATTTATACATTTTCTTTCTTTTTAGTTGAATGATTAGCAAAACTGACCGACCCATCGGCACAAAACTAATCCACAACTGGCCGTGTTATCACAGATGATCTTATGTAGACAGCGGGAGTTATTTTTGTGACATTGAGATGAAAATCTGAGTAAACAAAACTGCATGTCACTACAGCCGTCAACTGGGAACAAGTACGGTCCAAGAACCCTTTGAAGTAGCAATTTTAGGACCCGAAAGTTCGTTTCGCAACAGCGCGCGAACAGCGCCATCAATCGACGGCATTATTAACAGTAAATATTATTATTAGCCGGTGACGTGCTAAATTCATTTCCGGGAACATTATCATAAGAAAAATATGCGAGGTCGCACCGCATCGGTGATGCATGTGCATTGTGTGGGTGCGCGCGCGTGTGCGGGAGGGAGGCCGAGTGTTGGGGATGATGATGATGATGCATGACTAAGTGATGTGTTGAACAGCCACCATCATGGCAGCTTCTCTCTCCCAGCTCTCTGTTCTCAGCCAAATCAGCGAGGAATTCCTCCTCTGCCAGGTGTGTTTCGAGCGGTTCAACAAGCCCAAAATCCTGCCATGCCTCCACAGCTTCTGCGAGGGGTGTCTGCAGCGCTACGCCCCGGCCGGCAGCCGAACGATCCGCTGCCCGATGTGCAAGCAGGAGACGGAACTCCCCGAAAATGGCGGCGTGTGCGGCCTGAAGGATAATTTCTTCATCCTCAACCTGTCTGACGTGTTCACGGAGATCGCGCCGGCGAAGCGAGGCGAGAAGCAGCCGCCGCGTAAGGCCATCTGTACCATATGTGTCGGTGCGGAACCCGCTGAGGCAAGTTTTCGGTGTTTGGAGTGCGTGGATTTCTTGTGTGATGTCTGTGCTCCTTCGCACGACCACCGCCTAGCAAGGTTCAGCCGGCAGCATCACGTCATCTCGGTGCCGGCCTCGGAGAATAAAAAGCTCTTGAGGAGGGATATCTACTGCGACAAGCACAACTCGGAGACGGTCAGATTCTTCTGCGAGTCTTGCAACCGGCCCATCTGCCGCGACTGTGTCCTGGTGGAACACAAGGATCATTCCCACACTTTTTTGAAGGACGAAGTCTCAAAGCACAAGAACACCATAGACACTCTGTTACACGGTGTAAGGGACAAGATTGCCGCATTTGAAGAGGCCATGAAGAGCGTTGACGAAGCAGAGGCCAATCTCGAAGCCAATCGGGGACAGGCCGAATACATTATCAACAAGACAATGCAGGACTACATCACCCAGCTGAAGGTGCAGCAGCAGCATCTCACGCAAAAGTTGAGCCGAGCCTGTGAGGGGCGAAAGAAGCAGCTGAATGCCCATCGGAAGAGCCTCCAGGCTGGGCTAGAAAACCTGCTCAGCGGGTTTGACTTCACCGAGAAAGCCCTGGGGCATGGATCGGAGCTAGACATCTTGTCCATCAAAGACGAAGTGATTGACAGGTTGCAGGGTCTGTCGACCATCTCGCCGCAGCAAGACCTTACGCTGGATCAACTCTCCCAACTGTACTTTGTCGCGAGCGAGAGCGCGGCCGACCTGTCGCTACCTCTTCTCGGGGAGATCCGCTGCGGGGACCGGACCTTCGTGGACATGTCCGAGACGGGCGATTCCCGGTCGATCTGCTCCATTGAGTCGTCGGAACTCGGAGACAGCTCCATGTCCGAATCCATTCCGAAGTCACCGAGGAAAGTCGTGGAGGCAAGGCCGCTGCCAGTCAGCAAACCCCAGCTCTTGTTCCATCTAAAGGATGAGACAGATGAGGCTGGGGAATTCGACTGGCCAAGCGGAGTGGCATCCAGTGCCGACGGAGAATATGTGGCCATCGTCGATCGAGACAACGACCGCATTCAGGTGTATAACCGAAAGGGGAAATTCGAGTGTAAATTCGGAAATCGCGGCCGGCAGCCCTGCCAGTTTGAGCTGCCACTGGATGCCGCCATCACGACCGACGATGACCCCTGCATCTACGTCACGGACGAGTACAACCACCGCGTCCAGAAGCTGACCCTCTACGGCAAATACGTCTCGCACTTTGGGGACAACGGGATCTTTAAGCAGCCCTACGGCATCGCCATCACCAGCAAAGGACACGTCGTGGTGACAGACATCGGCAAGCACCGGGTGACCATCCACGACCCCAACGGGAAACTCCTGCATCACTTCGGGTCCAGGGGAGACGGGGAGACGCAGTTCAACGAGCCGCGCTACGTGGCCGCCCACAACGACAAGATTGTGGTGTCCGACCACTGCAACCACTGCATCAAGGTCTTCAACTCTCAGGGAGCCCATCTTCGCACCTTTGGCTCCTGCGGCTCCGGGAACGGGCAGTTCATTGGGCCGACGGGGGTCTGCATCGACAAAGACGGCAACATCATTGTGGCCGACTGCGCCGACCGGGTCCAGCTCTTCAACTCGGAGGGCGTGTTCCTCCGGCATCTACTAAACGAAGGAGACGGCTTGAGTGGACCCTTGGGCATGGTCATCACGGCGTCCGAAGAGTTGGTGATTACCAACTTGGGCACACACTGTGTCAATGTTTTCAAGTACAGCGGCTGGGTATGATGATAGAGTCATGTCAGTCCTCATTCAACTGAGTTCAGGATAGTCAGAATAATTTATGGCAATATGGTCACCATCAGTGTTAACAGAAAATATAGAAATCATCGTGACCCCACCCCCAAAAAGAGCTTAGAAATGTTAGAACTTTTCCATAAAGTTTCACTCGAAAATTTAGGCAAAAAATATCGCATTTTAACGAAATGCAAATCAAGAAAGATCATCGCTGAAAATTAAAAATTGTGGATGACTGTATTGTACTGGACTGATGCTTCAGTTTTTTAGTCTAAAAATTAAACGAGAATTGGAAGAAAAGTCAATTTCTTTGTCCCTCGTCACTGAGTAACCAAGGATAGTTCCTTATACATGTGATAGATTCCATAGAAGCCGTCGCAGGTGGCATACCTATTCTTGTACAATTCCTTTTCACGTCAAGCTCTCTGTACATACAGTGGAATTTTAAAGCCACTGAATGCTGTTCCAAGAAAGTTTTGTAATAACACCATTGTCTGAACATATTTTTCGGATGGCATCCGTATACAAATGCCAGTTGTAAATTATCATGAAGGGCAATCGAGCTCTTCAATCCAGTATTTAATATATTATGAAGTAAAATCATCGTCTTGCCATATATATAAAAGCGCGAGTTATCCGATATTTATGGAACCGTCACAACAGGATCCATGGAAGTACATGAAACATGTCTGAATCTGTGTATGATCTGGTAGGATGTCGATTCTATTGGAAATTCTATTGAAAGTTCTATTGAAATAGTTGTTAAATGTGCGTGTATGTACAGGAATATGGCGTGACTATTTGTTGAAGCACAAATTATATAAAATTTACAGTAGATTGTGTCATATTTCCGCAATATTCGGGGCAGCTGCAATTCAGAATTCAAGGAATTTGTATTTATCGTTTTTTTCTGGAATTTATCGACACGACCATGCACAATGCAGAAGTCCGCATGCAAGTTGGCGGATGACAGACTCCAGCGCTGCTTCTGACCAAGGGACGATATCGTGGAGCTGCTCACTCACACAAAGGCGCTAAGCACCCAGAATACTCGCTTAGCAAAGCGTGGGTTTCCAGCTGAAGCGTCATTGATTATATATTTCTAGTAACTGGTTCTAGCCGGTTCCGCCTACTTCACGAAATCGGGCCCGTCTTGGCCACTTTGCATCCGACATTTTCACAGCCATCAAATATCTGTTTGGATTTTAATAAATCCGCGCCAAAGTGGCTTCCCGCGTGGAAAGAATAATACCCAGCGTAGGCTACCTTCTTGTAATAGATGAAGTGGGTGCATTGGGGAGTAATTATCTTGAGAAGAGTGAAATGAAAAAAAAGCGAGCGCAATTTAATTTATTTCTTCTACATTGTCTGTCCACTCTATATTCAAAGACCGCAAAAGTTATTGACAGTACATATCGTGTAATAAGGTGGAAAATGCATGTCCCAATACACGTAAGTCTTCGAACACAATTATCGATTCGTAACTAGATAATGTACGACAATAATATTATACATGCTACGAGTGATGTGTCCAGCTAAACTAAATGTTCAAGGGGTGACAAACACGCATGCGTTTTGAAGGCATGCAGAGACGATTCACGTAGCTCTAAAATACCGACGGTGCTGCGGTGTCGTTGTTGAATGCTTATAGCAGGGAGTACATGAACCCTCCACATGAGCACCGCTGACTCAGTGTTTCGAAGCAGACGGTGGTTTTCAACCACAAAAAAAGCATTTTTTGAACTTGAATCCAAACTCTGCACCGCTATTAGTCATCACAAACGAACTTGAGCACCCCCTCAACTACTAGGAATGGTTGGCTGCATTTAGTCTGAGCAGTTAGGGTAGGCCTTTCTTTCGTGCTTTTAAAGTCATATTGCCATTGCCACGTGAAAAGTAACTTTGACAGTGAAAAGGGGGCATAATGCACCTGTAATATGTCTTAGTTTGTCAATGTGTGTGAGTCAAATAATGCGATTAACGCTTCAACTTATTTATTTTTCATATGAAAACCAATATTGGCTATATTCTATGAATTAACTGTACATTATTCCCAAAAGAAAGGTATGTAATATTGTGGAACATCGTTATATTTACTACATGCAAAGCAACGCTTTTCTGATACAGTGTTATGATTCGATGTACTTAATTATATTCGGTTTGGTAGTGCTTAGCTTGCTTATGGCGATTTTCGTTATCCTGTTTTGCACAGTACGCTTTATTTTGTGAAATAATGTTTGGCATACATTTTTGTGTTCAATTAGCTATATTTTGTAAGAGAGCTTTTGCAATTTTTATTTATGAAATGAGGCATGTATAGGCCTGTGGGCATTAGGGTTGGTAGTAACTCAAGGAGAGAGAGAAAAAGAATGTCTTTGAAGATCGTTTGCAATAAATTGGGTATGTCGTGGCATTTTGGCTATCTATAGGGTTTTCCTTCAAGGACAAAGACTTGGGCCGCCTCTAAAAAAATGAAATTGACCCCTCCCTTACATAGAGAAGTCGTTCAAAATTACGAAGTTTTCAATTGGATTTGATCATGATTTGATATGATTTGCCCGTGCTGTAATAAAGTTTTGATCTCGATTCAACCCCCCACAAAATATAAAAATAGAGAAAAGTTTTCAAAACAGCATAATTATTCTAAATAAATCTAGCCTAATAGGCCGTATATAAATGTTTGAACTAGAAACGCATGTGTTAACAGTTGGAATCTTATCTGTGTTGTGATCACCAAACCTCCAACTCTATCATGAGAGAGCGGCCGGCATTTCTTTATAAACATTGATTCATGTAATGAATGCGCTGGCAGTGGGCTGAGGTCTTCCATCAAGCTTTCACGCGGTGTGAGTCATTTCGTTGCAAAAAGGCACAGACATCGTGCATAATAAATAAAATTGGCCGTTTGACAAAAAAAGAAGGTCGCATAGCAAGAAGGGCTTCATCAGGTAGACACGATCTGAGATGCCATTGTGCTCAAAACTATGCACATTCTAACGACTTTCTCGACAACCCTTGCAGGATTTGATCTTACAGAATTCGATGGCCGGAAGCCATGCATGCCCGTTTAGTATTGCATCGGTTTTGTTCTACGCCAGTGCTGCAAAGCATGTAGTTTTTCCCGAGGCAGAAGTGATGACGATAGACTTACATGTAAATTCGAACTACAGGTAAATTACCGGTACTCCTAGGATTAAGTGTACCGAGTACATTCTGGACACGGATAATCAAACGCAGATATCTTAAGAATACGGGGGGAGGGCTCAGACCGTAATCTACCCCAGAAGTAGTAGCTCATGCTCCGAAGCGCTCTCCCCCTCCTCATGTGGGACTGTACGGGGCGTACGGCTAGGTTTATATCAGAGCTAAAGTAAGATGCGCTGCCGGTAGGTGCACACTATCTTCGTTTATTTTCCATAAAGCAGAGGGAATGTGAAACCTTGGGTGTGCCACTGCAGAACACCCTCAAAATAGGTCTCCATGTATGAAGTACTTTGAATGTGATTCTCTACAAATGTCTGTCTTTATAGAAAACGCACTTTGTGAAACTGACGCATAAGCCTACACGAAGCTCGATTATTTGCAGCTATAAGATCACATCCTGTCCAACTGAGCTCAATTTGGCGTGTGACTTGTCCGGTGACTTACTTAAACCGTGGCCAAAGAAGGAAGTAACAATTCGCTGCCCATTGACAGAAATCTTGAGCCCAGCGGAAGCGTTTTTTTTTTACATCAGTCAATAGTCCACTGCCATTCTCAGATGTTTAAAGTTATAACCGAGGGTATGACTGGTATTCTAGCCTAGTATTCCGTCTTTGGGTGGTGGTCTTAATTTTGCGTTTTTGAAATATAAGACAGTCCCTTTGTTCCAGGCGAGCGAAATCTAGTGCGCGCAGTCCGTCAGTGTGTAAAATTCAAGTAGGGTTGGGGAGATCGCACGTCTGCTGACAGCTACAATGCTCGGTTTCATCTTTGGAAGTGCGTGGATGCCGTACAACAGCGATTAGATTTCTGAGCTGTTTTTAACTGCTTCATCTCATTTCTTTGTTGGTTCCTACCATTTAAGCGGGTGTGCAATGGTTACTGAATTTAGTTATTTTTAAGGGCCTTTATGGGGAAATAGACAAAAAATACCTGAAGTTATTTTATGTTTACTTGAATAATCTTCGCAGGAAATAACTGAGGATGTTAAAGTACCATACACAGCAACCTCTCAGAGATCCGATCACGCCAAATCGAAAGACAAACAGGTGACAGCCGCGGTCATGTTGTAGGCCTACCGGCCAATGGGACGTGTACGGCGGAAGATGTTAATAAGCCAGCATTGCATTTATCTGACTGATGCGGGCGACTACGTACTAAACGTGGTCGCCATGGCAACCAGTTACGGAATCCCGCTCGACTGGTTGCGTCAACCGGCCGTCTTGCCTCCGATTCGAATACGTGATGAGGCACTGTCTTGGACTCGGGCATGTCTTCTGTCTAGGGGGTTAAAACGGCAGCAAAATAACCAAACAGGTTGTTGATGAAAAACCCGTCTTGCACTTGGGGACTTGAGTTTTTCCTTCTGATTATATTCAATTTGTTTTTCTTTTTATGAAAGCCTGGTTATTGATTTCTCTTGCACGGAAACGTAAAATTATAATAGGCTGAGAGGTCTGCACGGTTGCAATGTTATCTCGACGCGTGTGATATCATTTTCTTCATTTATTTTGTTCAGTCTTGAAACTGCACCGCGGTTTGAAAGCGATTAACAATCAGAAGGACGCTGCTCGCCGTTTCCTCGTCTCCTTCTTTTGTTGGAAAGATTGTTGACTCTTTCGCGGGAATAGCCTTGGCGCAGCTTCTTTCTTAACATTGTCTGGTCATAAACATGCCACGTGGGCTGATGGAGATTGCAAAAATTAGTTTTCCAAGAATTTCGTTCAGGTGCTTCACACCAAAAGAGTTCCGGATTTTAAAGTTAAATACGGTTTGTGACGATTTGACCTCTTTTAAACCGACTGTAGTCTTAGGTTGAGGCAGTGGAAATGGCCCTCCTGGGACACAAAATCTGCATTATTGGGAAGTAAATAGAAATTGGTTTCGAATTATTCCACCTGTTTACATGTACTAGGACTAGGTCTGTGAGCAGTCTTTAGCTCTTTCCCGGACATTGTATTGGATTGCATTTTAATTGTATTGCCTTGTATCTGTGTCAAGTGTAATCTCGTACACTTCTTAACGTTCTGTGAGATATCTCACAAGAGTTTCCACAATTATGCATATCCCTGAGTCCTTGATGTAGAATAAGAAACAATTAAATGTACTCACTGAAAACATAAATGCGGTGTAAAATTAACACCGAATGGCTTTTGTACATGTAATGAGCAAACGATTTAATATAGGGGGGGGTTATACAGGATATCCGATATCCACCATGCAGCCTATTTGTTATGACCCATTGTCATATTACAGGCCGAAGATTCAACAATCCTAACGTGTAACAATGTTGACTCGTCTTCTTTCATTGGCAAATCTATTTGTGATTTGGCAATGCAAACATTGTTTGGTAAATGGTCCGGTATCGAATTACCGTACAGGTCGGGCGCCCGCTTTGCGGACGCGGGAACAGTTTCCGGTAATGCAATTGGAGGGTTGCACAAAATGTTAATCAAATCAAAGTAATATTCTTTACCCGGTTTGCACATTAACTCACGAGCCAATTTAAAGCGAGCTTGTTGGCCGAAGGGGCAAGTACGGCTAGCAGATGATAGCGACGCTCCGAGCATGCACCGCACGAAAACAGCACTCAATATTCTGCCACTTCATTCGATTTGGCTGTACTTCCGAAGGACACATAGCTGCTTGTAATAACCAGAATGTAAATTGAACATTTCATGTACGGGCCAAAATGTTCACACCTACGTTCTTTGCCTTGATTTTGCCTTCCAATATTGTCCATGAATAGTTCAAAGCGAGCGTGTCCGGAGGTGTTAAGACATGGCAGACTGCAGGGAAACTACACTGAAAATGGAGAAACCTGAAAGGATTTGATAAGTTGATCGAGAGTCTAAAATATTGGTAATTCGAAGCCTGTATCTCTTATTTGGTCTGCTGCGGCACTGTTGTGTAGAAGTTGAAGATGCACCGCTACTACAAAGCGCAGTTTGATCAATTTGTTGACGCGAGCCGGTCATCTCTTGTTTTTTTTCGTGAACTGTTTGAAGAATGCAAAAATTATGTGTCGTTGCCACCGGATTCAATAGCGGTACCATGACGTAAAGTCAAAACCGAGTTTCGAAAAAAGGACCGCTGTCTTGTTTTTTCGATGGCAGGGAGATTGAATGAGCATTATGTGTGTACATGTGTATACATGTAAAGCCACACATGAACCATAGCGACTATGTCGAGAATTACTAAAAACACACCCGCAGGACATGGATAAATTCGTCTTATATTCTTCAATACGGAGCACGATATACAATCTCCACAAGAGGCTAGGCAGGCTAGCAGCTTGTTTTGATTAGATTTCAAGTTGGATTGTAACTTGAACTTGGATCCTGGGTGTAATCGTTTTTTGCCTCATTTAAGAGAGTCCACTGACGATTATCATTTCCTTTCCCAAATGAAAACTGATTTTCATTCCTTTCATTTCTTTAATGGATTAGCATCTTTAAGTGAAACCTCTTGGAAAGGTAATACGGTATGAACGTGTCCTTACGCAAAACATTTGTATTGGGGTCATTGTATCACAATTGTATAAGGAGAAAGGTAACATTTGGAAGTATAGTTTGATGCATTATCACTTTTGTCTATTAAATGATTTGGACAGTTTGTATTGGTTGTTATGACCATTTCCGCCCTGGACGATTTGCAGTTGTCACAAACATGTCAAAGGCTGGCTTGCGAATAATAGTTCCAATAACCTCTCTCGAGAGGATGCAAAGCGATGTCGTGCATAATGTCCCCACAGCACCCGTATGCATGCGTCCGCTACTCGCCCCGATTCGTCTTCAAGCACCTCAAGAACGTCGCCTGTTTGGCGAGCATATGGCGCCTCTTGCCGGGAGCCTCAAAATGCCATCCCTATTTTTAATATTAAATCTGGAGCGAATACGCCGTGCTGTGACGTGCTGCGCGGGATCATTTATTTCACGAAAAATGATAATGCACTGTACGGGAGCCTTCATGTGAAGGCATGTGGTCTAATGGAGGCACTGCATCTTAAGAATTAGAAAAAAATCTTTCTAGCAATGACTGGGAAGAAGTGGAATCGAACTCGAATAATTTAACAAATGTTTGAAGCTGTCGGCGATGAACGTTTTCTTTGTGCCTTGGAGTAAGAAGAAATGTATAGATTACGCACAAGACTTAGTGATGTAAACAAAGATCATTGTTTGTCAAGGAATGTGTCATGTGAAAAACTGTCTTCGCTCTATCAAAACACGAAATAAGAATAATGTATAAGAATCTGTTATGTATTAATATGGCTCTGTAATATGTAAAAATGTATCATATATTATGTAAAATGTAAAACACCATGTACAATATTTTATGGGAACGTAAAACTGCATGAGTGGAAAGATGTTGCAAGTTACGTCAATTAATCTGTACAGGGAAAAATGTACCATAGATTCGGTTGCTTTGCTTTTAGATACTAATGTTGAGCAAAATGAGAGAATAAAATAGTTTAATGGTGCAGTCAATAAAAATCTTTGCTGTTACTTTGTGTTGAAATTTCCTGGTTTTAAATTATTCGAGGTAAAAAGCCTCAGGTTGTCTTCCAACAAAAGATATGATCGTTCGTACCCTCATCCTACATGTACATAAATACGATGGCCCCCATAAATTTGTATATGACACAGTTGGTCCTCACAATGTTGGCCTGACAAAGACAAGGGCGTATCCAGAACCTGTCCGGTTTTGTAGGCGGTGGGTTATTTTTTTTGGGGGGGCAGGGAAGTTTGTAAATTTCTCTGTGTAACCCTCGTGGCCTTTTTGAGGGGTTAGGCTAAATTACTGTGCATCTCCGTAGAAGAAAAGAAAAAAAAATCCTATAATTACCTTTTCCTCATTACATGTTAAAAACAAAATATGACCCCGCCTCCCCCCCCCATCCAGAAGGTGTCCTGTAGAAAAAGTGCCAAACATGACCCGGCATGCACTGGCTACGGCTGGGAATGACGCGCAGAACTATATGGGAAATAATACTGGTACCCGGCCAGAAAAAAGGACGAAGAGGTATCCCCCTATAGTATACATGTCCAATCCCTTTACACACCCCGGAGTATTGTTACCAACCCCCCCCCCCATGCCTGTAAAGAATTCTTGAGATTCTGATCAAACAATGACCAACACAAAGGTTGGGGGTGCTCCCCGTCCCATAATCTTACTTCACACGATGAGAAATCCGGCTTCCACAGCCGAACGCGTTACATATTCAGCGGTATAAGTAATTCTGACTAGGCCTGGAAACTAGCAATGGGGCTCAGATTTCAAGCCAAGCTCAAACCTTCATTGGACGTTGGAATATAATTCACACAAAACAAGAAACACTAACCCCAACCATACTCTAACAGCCCCACCCCTTTCCAAAAATCAGTTTACATGATCCTAACTAGCCAAGGGGTTTATAGAAAATATTTTGTATGCCTGTCACGGGCCGCGATTCTTTCGAAAGTCTCCGACACATGCTCCTACTTTCCTGCAGATTTGCTGAAAGTCTCCTTTAGGCCCCTTTGGTGATAGTTTGCTTTATTTTGATATCTCCATTGGAGAAGATGGGAACCTGGAAGGAACTCTCTTCTTTAGCTAATTAGAGACGATCTCCTCTTGTGTTAAAATGTTTACCTTCAAAGTAGCTAGTTGATGAGGGACGGTGGGTAATGGGAGACGTTGGAAGCCTGCCTCACTTGCCGATATGTCGCATCGCCATGCACTATCACGTCGATACTGTACCGTGTACGCTTTTACCGCAACCGTGCACTAGCACTGCAGTGGCATTCAGAGGTATCCGTAGAACATTCAACAAACAAAATGGCGGCTCCCATGCGAAATTTTTTTTCGTTTGCTCAAAAAGCGGGTAAGTTCTCTGCACTTGACCTCTAAATTGAAAGCGCGGAGTTTTTGTCTTTCCTTTCGCACAACCAGAAAAACTCCCACTAATTATACGGTTGAACTGTGTGGTAGGAGAAGCTGGATGTGCATGCCACACGTAGGGCTCGCGACCATGACGACGGCACCCAGTCGCAGACTAAACTGGTGATGGAGCCAAAAGTGTACGTGCGTGTAGCCTACATGATGTACATGTATGCGTGACATGTACATGTAGCTGGTTACAGAACTAAGCCACCCAATGACAGCGTCTTTTCATTCAAACGTGTACAAAATTAAAGTCGAGTCGACATATTTTCAAAGTATTTTGTCTATTGTGAATTGTCTAATTTTGAAATGTTTCTTGTCATGCTTCTTCAAGTTCTTGGTTCTCACATTTAGGCCTGGGCCTATGCATTTTCAACATTTTTCACAGCAACTGGCATGACTGTCCTAGTTAACTGAGACATTACCACAATGAAATATATGAAGAAGAAACAATAACATTTTATTGTCATTGGCTGCCTCTCTTTTTAATTCTTTTAAAAGTAAGGTCAACACGATCTGGTGCACATTTGTAATTTTTTTTTTTTACAGGTAATGTTACATTTATGATGTTTACCTACCCTTTCAGTTCGACACAAAAGACCCACCATGGTGCTGAATAAGACTTGCTGGAAAGCATTTGGCGAATTTAGGATGAAATGTCACGTAGTTAGGCGGGATGCAGGGAAGAAACATTGAAATGAATGTACAAATTATGATTCTCCACTTTTGTTTTTCAGCCACAAGAGTATGCTGCAGCCAAATCCGTCTTAACACACAATCAGTAGTAACAAGACTTTCTATCACTTCCAACTTGTACACACAAGGCAGACTCGACCGTGCAGCGAGACCAGAATTAAGGACAGTGTTCCACAGTTTTGGAAAATCGGCATTAAGCACGGGTGTCTCTTCACAAACAAGGCTATACTCATTACTCACAGGCAGCTGCTGCGATGTGGGCACTAACAAGGGTATCCTTTGTCAAAGGTTTGCATTTCATTGTTTGATTTGAACTTTCTTTGTTGTCATAGTTGTCACTAAGGTCAGAGAGAAATGGGTAATTCTAGAAATTAGGGGTCTAAAAGTGTGACATTTTGTTGTCCCTGTTACATCTGGTCTTTGTTATTTGACATGGAAATATCACCAGAATTGATTTCAAATTATTACGATTTGTTTGGCAGGTAATTTGTATTAAGTCATCACTCTTGGAAATTAGAAAATGCATTCTGAACTTACAAAATCATATGTCAGATGTAACAAAAATGGACCACTAATTTCTGGAATTACCCAAATGCCTTTGCTTGGAAAAGTATTTGAATCAAATATCCCAAAGACCCATTTCTTCATGGCAGTGGGAAAAAAGATAACAGAATAAAAATATTGTGTTAAATCCCCCCGCAGATTGATGTTGTCTTCAGGAGATTTATGTCCCCAACATCAGCCCAGTCGGACAGTGGTGAGGTACAGCAGAAACAAGGGAAAGAAGAAGTCAGTCAGGGCCGTCCTGGCTCGTTTCTACCGCTTTTCAAAGTAAGTCTGTCAGCCACGCCTTGCTCCTTAATTGACGTGTTAACAAGGGAAAAACAGACTCAGTTGGAATCCTCATATCTTAGCCTTGTAGGGAGTTTGCCTCATCACGTCAAGGACAAGTTCTTATGCAAATCTAGGCTAATTGTCCGGTGGATGGCAGAAGCACTTCTATCAGGAAGTATGCACTGGTTGAGGGCTTGGTTCTGTCAGACTTTTTTATTGATCAGGGTTTTTTTAGCATGGAAAAATTATCTTGATTTGAGTGGTGCTACTTAAATAATAGGGAGTGTGTTGTCAGTGCTACAGATTTTTAACAAGAGTATGCAAAGAAAATCCTGTACTTTTGTTGAGAGGTTTTCAATAGCTCAGTGTGAGTTGCTTTAACTTGTCGGGTTTTCTTGCAAAGGTTCTGATGGTGACAAGTGTGAGATCGGTCAATTTGAAAAGTTCCCTCCAGTTACGTCCAGAAGTCGTTCTAAGTTTAACATATAAGGGAAGGTCTAGGCTCGCTCTCGTGACAAACTGCGTAATGAGCTGGTTCTGTACATATACTTCAACATGGTACAGTCATTTCACAGCATGTGTACATGTGCAGGTTGACATGTGGCCCAACTTACAGGGCAGACCTTTTGGGTGTGTATTGCTATTCCCGAATGACCTCAGACAAATTTGATTATGGGCGTGAACTGTCGCAGTACCAACCTGACTCATTAAAAAATACGTTGTTTCCTTTTGTCCCCCCCCCAGCGGCCTTTGGTTGCGGACCATCGCCGGCCGCAACAAGAAGCGCTGGAAGAAATCCCCTGCTCGCCGACGCCGCAACAAGTGGCATGTCTTCTGCAACAAGACCCAGTCCAAGATGCTGGACCGGATGGTCACCAGCTACTGGAAGCAGCGCCGTTACTTCCCGGACGACCCCTTGGAGCCATTCCAGGACCGTAACTACAAGGGCCTGAAATTCTACCCCGGCAACTACACACTGAGAAAGAGGGAGGACTTGTGAACTTAAAAAAAAAAAATTCTGTTTTTCCTGCAATGGGAGCAATTCCCCGGTATACAGGATTGCCTGCCAAAAAGCTGGTTTGTCTATGCCAATGATAAGTAAGAAGTAATGTTGGCCTTTGAAAACTTGTTCGGCAGTGTTCACCGGTACTGTAACATTTTCAAAAGCATGGACATGTAATGTGACATCACTGATCCGCGTTAAAGCCAAAAAGAAAAATGCCTCCGGTTTCTGGTCAGGGGCTGGCTCCAAAAGTGGTGTGGCGACGCTGCTTTTTTTTTTTTCCCTCACTTTTTTCACCGCTATCAAAACTGACATAGACTGGCACCCTCACTATTTCCTGTTTAAAAGCGTTTCCAGATTGTAGATGTACACAGGACATCAGATCACCTCGTGTGTCTGGTTCCCAGATGTAAATGTAAAATACAGAAATGACGTCATCTGAAAAGTAGTGCCTATTTGACTATAAAAGCAATGGGGGTCAAGAGGAACTCCTTTACTATACATAGACATCAACCATACCCCACGTAAAGAACATGACAATTATGCAGGCGCAGGATTCCAGTCCAAAAAGTTTAGCAGCTTTTGGACATTGTATAATACAGTCTGTTTCTTTTGCCGATGAGCAGGTCTACGGCGACACGCACACTGACCAGAAACCGTAGACTTTTTTCCCGGTCTAAGTGGGGATTGTTGTCCAGCCGAGCCAAGAACCTGTGCGTCACTTTAGAATGGATGCAAGTGAATGGTGTAGCATTTACACCAAGGTTTGGATAGTTTGGATGTCAAATTGTACACCGTGTGATTCACGCATGTCAACCTTGGCATGTGCGGGCCACTACAAGCATTCCCGTGGAATAAAGAAATGAAAAGTAAGACAACATTCATATATCAAATACATGTACATGTTACAGTAAAAAATGTGTTTGGTTCATAATAATTATGTCATGAAATGAATACGTTTACGACAATTTAACGATTTATTGTTCCTTGCACAGGTTAGGTTTCTGGTAATAAAAGTTCTTGATTTACAGTCACAGCAGTGCCTGTTTTCCTTTGTGCAGTGTATTAATTCTTTACATATTTGAAAACTGACAGGTAGAAAATAAGTTAGATCTCGACCTGACTGCAGAAACAATTGGAGTGTAAAATATGTAGTGTAAATGCATGGATTGGAAGCTGTTGATGACTTCATAGTCAATCTAAAGAAATAGGCACATTTGTTGTTGGTTAACCGCAAACCCTTGTGGGGCATGAACAATTCTATTGAAATTGGGCAGTTCATGATGATTACGGTCAATGGTTCGTTTTCTTGGCATCAGATCCTCTTAAAAAGTGTAGTTTGATTGTTTCTTCTTGTTTCCTTCATGTTTTTCAGCCACTCCCCAATTCAAGCTCCTCCCCCCCTTTTCAATTCTCTTTCCCGTTGGTTTGACTGCTATTCTCTGGATTCTGTAATGTGTCACTGGTTTCTAAAGGTAGAGGGGTATCAACTGATGACCTACTACCCGGACTTGCAGTGACTATGTCATCTTTGTTGTCTGCCGCTTTTTCAGTCAAAGTGACGAGAACTTCATCTTCGCAGGTGACCAGATTTGAGTTGATGTCCAGCGAGTGTGTCGTGAGTGGACTCCCAGGTGGTTTGCTTGTAGGGCTAGGGTTGCCGGTTTGCGCGGTCTGGTCTTGAAGCGGTCGCTGAGATGTTATCGCCTCTTGGTCCTGTCCTTGGGGACTTGACTCCTTGGAGGTGCTAGGATTGGTGGAGTCCTGCTGCAGCATGCGGATCTCTTCCTCTACGCTCTCGGCGATGGTCTCCAGCTTCACAGCGGCGTCTTTAGCTCGGCCTTGTTCCTCCCCTTCCTCCTCGGCTTCCCCTTCCGGCTTGACGTACTCCTTGTACTCCTTCACGGAGCAGGAGCCCTCGTACAGCTCGATCAGCTTCTCGAGCTTCTCGATGGGGCTCCGTCCCCTGGAGGGGGTGCCACTGCCGGGTGTCCTGGCGGCCGCCAGTGGGCTCAGAAGGGACCCCCTGTCCTGGCCCGCCGAGGGGGGCGTTTTCGGAAGGGCGATGTCCGGGGTCTGCTTGGCGGGGCCATAGTCCTCGTCGTCGCTGGTCTTGTTTTCGTCGGCGTCCGAGTCCACCAGGATGCTGGGGGTGGTGACGCTTCGCTGGCTTTGCTTGGTGGAGATGGAGGAGCGAGGAGGAGTAGGCTTACGGGTCTTCACCTGCCACAAAGCAGCAAAGTTAGTCTCAAGTAAAAAAACAACACAGGTGTCATTGACATCTATCGAGAACCAGGTATGAGCAAGCTCTAGTTGGAGAGTTGCCATGATGGATTAGTGCATCCGCTGAAAGGCAGGAATAAACCTGTTTCCACAAATCATTTTTGGCGTGTGTGGAGGTAAAGATCAGCTGTGCATTGCATGAACAATAAACAGGTAGTTTGTGGCATTTTCTGAATGGTCAATGAGAGAATCCTGACTCAAACGCCATAGTCTGAAGACCACCCTTAAAAGGGTCTCTCCCCACCAACATGGCTCTTTTCAACCGATAAAGGGTTGCTTCTGCTCAAGGTTCGATTACCTTCAGGTCTGGGGTTCTTGGTGACTCGTTGAAGAAGCGCTCTTTCTGCTCGTTCAGGCCCTCCTGTATCTCGTTCTGGGTGATCTTGGCCGCGATGTTGTACCGTGTGCACAGCCTGCGCACCTTGTCCTTGATCTGCTGGACCATCTCCATGTCCCCCGTGGGGCTGACACCCATGGACTGCAGGGCAATAGCCAGTTGTCTGACAGATGGGACGCGGAGATAAAGCCGAAACGTAAATACCACACTCCTGCAAATTCTGCCGTGTAAGTTAAGTCTCATCAAACTAACCCTGACTGAAAACTGCGGCAATAAGGCTGTTTTCTCTGTGCCTCATCAAATAGAAACGCTTCTCAACTTGCCCTTACTTTAAAATTCCAAACTAATTGATCCCAAGAAGAAATTTGACGTATAAATTCTGCCAGCACAGCTTCAGAACCAATGCATGAGAATGAGGTTTCAATACTTACAGATGCAGGCCATCAAAGCAAACACAAGTTAAATATTAGAATTTTCATTTCACCAGTGAAGGTAACAGTGTAACAACTGGATCCTTGATGCAAGATTCCAGTGAAAATAAGCAGTAAAAAGCCTGTCAGTTTTAGTACTGCTGTTACCACTTTGCCAGGTGGTAAAGTTAAGAATCCACTGAACAATCCTTGGTGGTCTGAAAATTCTCAAACGGATGGCTGGTGCAGAATTCTATAAACTAGTTTTTACAATAAGGAAAGGTACCCAGAGCGCAAACAGAGAGACTCACACTCTGACGAGTTGGTCCGGCTCCACCAGCAGCTTGTCTTGCAGCATGGCGGCCACGTGCTTCCCGCCGATGCCCAGCTTGACCAGTGATTGAAGGGCCTCGGCCCGCACCCCGGGCTCCGCCTCAAAGCGCACTGCCCACAGAATGGCCTCCTGGATTGGCTCGCTGTTCTTGCCGATGTCTCCCAGCGCTGTACGTATCAAATGGAGGGGAAGGAGGCAGAGTGTGCGAATTAGTAATCATCGTGCAACTCTTTTGTTCAGCTCTGTCTAAGACGTTCTGTACCCTGTTCTGTGGTCCAGAATACACCGTATCCTGGCTTACTGTGCCACGCAGTTATAGCATTTAGCCGAGGGGGGGGGTGTCTAGCTTCAGAATGATACTCAGCTTTGTCAGGCAACTACGCGGAAAACCGGAACTCTTCATCCATATGGACACCTTAATGTTTGTATTCGACACAGATCGAGATGGCCAATTTTCCAATGCTGACAAAAGCTGTGATAGTCGGCACAGTGTGCAGGCATTATGTGAAGCGTCCGGCACAGAGAGGCCATCTTTGTGTATGGCACTTGGTGCCAAAGTGTTTGTGCAGGTAAATTTGGTCAGGTGTCTCGCTCAGTCTTAGAGATCTCTGATCCAGAGATGGAAATTACTAACACCATAGTTCCAAACTAGCCTTGTTAACTTCCCGTGCATTTGCGGAGTTAGATGACACTGTTAGAATTCAAAGAGATTCTCGTCCGGTTCACTTCAGGTCATTCATTCATTGTCAGCCGCTATCTGCAATTTACATTCTCTTTAGTCGGAAAGTACAGACAAGTTCACAAAAAAAAGATACATCACCTTTGATTGCGTGTGCCTTGACCTTCCAGTTATTGTCAAACTGCGTCAGGAACAACAGTTTCTGGGTGACCTTTGGATCCTCCAGGGAGAGCTGACTGGCCGTGTTGGTGGCGGCAATCCTAACGGCAATATAGGCATCACTGAAGCACTGGAGGTAGGCGGGTAGAAGGCGGGCAGTCATGATACCTGGGAAACAACATTTAGGGATACTTGAATAATACTGCGCTATGTAAGGTGGGGTTTCGATAGACGGGGTGGTTCTCTCCTCGCCTTCCACCTCCGAGGCCCGGGTTCGATTCCCGGCTCGGTCTGCCTGTGGATTGGGTTTTCAGTCCCTACCTGATTCCGTGGGTTTTACCCAGGATATTCTTCTGGACTTGTCCTCCCACCTCTGAAATTGTAACTGCTTTGGACTCTCTCCTTTCTACTGATTGGCTTACAAGCCAAGGTACAACACCTGGGGCCCTTTCCAGGAATTCTTGGTTTCATTACCTTACTTAATAAAGTTGATAATAGCAGTGAGGCTTAATAAACTGGACGAGAAACCTACTGGCTATTATGAGAGACTTTCTAATGGATCCTGTTTCATAGTAAGTCCATAATAAGTGAAGCAACTTGGAAGTGTGCTGATTATTTCAAGGATATTATCCATTGGAAATGACTGACTGATTGGATGGTGTTTCCATAAATGCAGGATGACACAGACACATTAAGCACTGGACTCAAAAGCCCATGCAGCTGCTGAACCTATTACCAAACAGTTCGATTGACAAAGCAGAATATGGCTGAAAACCAGTTACAACAAATACAAAGTGCCTGGCATAAAGCTATTACCAACCAAATATTTGCTGAGCTAATATTTTATCTACTAAGTCAATGTCTGTGCTCAAGCCCATGCTGAACTTCAATCAGCATGAACTAAGATGCCACGGTTCATCTCCGAATGCCATCTGGCAACCAGCTGATCTATTTATGAAGACCAGCCTCTGGTAATTGGATCACGACATACATGAAATTCTTCAAGAAGTGACTTGATCCCTCAGATAAAAAATCTCCAGCCCGTCATTAACCTGGTTTCTGAAGTATCTTTGCTTAAAGTCAACTAAAACTCAAGTTGACAGTTGAAGTACATGCGTTCCGAGGGAAGAGAAATGCCAGGAGATCTTATTTACAGCCTACTATTAAAGTTGCCAACAGAATCTTCAAATCGAAACAAGCTCTGGTCATTTCCAATTCATTTGCAGGGTACAATGTTCATGTGACAGTGTAATTTTTGGACAGTTCCATTAAAAAATTTCGTTACGAAAAACGTCACCAGTTTCATAACATGAGAACCTTCCAAGCTAAGAGACAAATCCAGTGCCGTTTCTCTGCACAACCCGATGGTCCCCCTTCTAATGGTAGAAACCACTGTCTTGGGTTTTGCATGGAGCAAATGTCACAAGAGCGGCACTGGTGGACAATAGTTATCACACGCTGTGACTGGTGGAGGGCCATCGCAAATGACAGCGACAGTGCTACGATGATCACCTGATTTGTCAATAGAACAAGCACATGCGAGAAACAATGAACCCGCCAAGCCTTACCCAAGTGAGCGACCTTGTTCAGGGCGTCGATGCGGTCTCGCTCGCTGCCCTCCAGCAGCCGGTCCCGCAGCTCGTCATGCACCTCCTTGCCGTGACCCGTCCTGCCCATGGTCTGGGCAGCCGCCCGGCGGACGTCCTGGTGCCAGTCGTTCCACATCAGGTTGTTCAGCTTGTGCATAATGTCCTGCATTTTTGGTTTAAAAAAAAAAAATTCTGCGCTGAGTTCTCTTCATGATAGCAGATTGTAATATGACAATGCCACTAAGTTCAATAACCCTTTTGCAACTTAAATTTGAATAAAATCTGGTACACTGAGTTATCTGATTACATATAAATATAATTATTTAAAATCCCCAGACTAAAGATACTGTTGCTATACCTCGTGATTCGGGGGCAAGCTTTTGCATAGCGACCACCATCTCTGAAATGGACCGGTTCCTTTGTGCCATTCTTATCCACTGAAAACAGCATATTGGTGCAAGGCGTCTCTTATGTAACTAAGCAAAAGCTTGCCCCGAATCATGATGTACAGCAACAGTGTCTTTAATATGGGGAATTTAAATTGTTATGTTCACGTGAATTTAAAGAACTCAGTGTGCCAGATTTTATTCAAATTTAACTTGTAAAAGGCTTATTGCAGTTGAAGTCTCAAATTGGACGAACACTGAAGTCGTGCCAGATGAACACTGGCAGAGGAGTGCCTTTGATGTTACCAGGTAAATGAAAAACTAAAATGGAAAACTCTTTGCACAGATCTTGTGAAAGGAAATCCGCAAAAGTCCCAACACAGCCACCAATGTAATGTTCTTAAAATTCGCTCTTATGTATTCCTAAAGCCATGTGTCCAGTGCAAGATTCCATAAACGCACATCAAACGGAATAAGATCAAAATGAAGGGATCGGCATTCTCAGCATGAGGAGTTATGATCAAATAAGGAAACATTATCGCAGTCGAATTTCACTGACACTTGTCTTACAGTGTTTGTTACAAGGAACTGCACCGTAAGCGTGCTTGACACACATCTTACCTAAGAGAAAGCTACCTTTAAAGACTCCTGTCCTCTGGTGCTACAAAACAGCGCTTTTGAGTCCCAGTAAGGATGGTTATTGACAAGCCTAGAAACCCTGGTCCCTAGTTGTCCTAATTTTGCTTTAGTCGAAACGTATTAACTTTTGACAAATTTGAAAGTGTGAATTTATGTATAATCTGACTCCACAAAAATTGCATTCCTATTTGTTTTTTTGGAGTATGAACCAGTCTTGAGACGCGCAAGACAGTTGAAGTATCGCTCTGACCTTGTTAATGATCCCGCTGAGGCGAGGCAGGACCCGGCAGGCGATGATGCGCTGCCGCCAGCTGGCGCTGTTCAGCTGTTCCCCGACCATGGAGTGGACCACCGTGGAGCCGGCGCTGAGCTTGGCCAGCAGGGCCATGCAGCGCTCGTGCTTGATCACGTCCTGGCTGGCCAGGAGCTGCTGGATCAGCTCGCCCACCACGTACGAGTCGCAGACCCCGGCGTGGGCCAGGCACTGGGATGCCGCCCAGCGCTCCGGCTCGCTGCCTGTTCGCATGACCTCGTTCAGGATCTTCCTTGCCTGTAGTGGTTTATGAAACGGCAGAAAAAGAAAACTACAATGCCTAAACCAGAACTTTTGAAATTCAATGGACCACATTTCACTCTCGGGTAAGAAAGGACGTCCCACGTGCCCAGATGAGAATTTGAATAAAATTTAGGAATGTGTACATATGCCACTGAATGCCTTCTGAGACAAGTCAAACAGGTAACCTTCTGAATCTGAGCATGCCGGCATTTTGTTTGCATCAAAAGGCTGCTTGGTTTCCAGAATTGCAAATCATTTTTTTTACATAATAAAACGTCTTGCGCTTTCAAAAAAAATATACACGTAAACTCTTAATGCTGCAAATCCTCGAAAGTGTGGATTTATTCAGGAAAAGGGTTTATTCAAAGCGATTTGACTGCACCAAAAAACCACATCCTTTTCAAAAAGGTTTACTCACAAAAATGGCACCGCTGAAAGAAAAAAGTGCAGGGTGAGATACAGAGAGTTAGGAAAGTGTAAGATGATATCAAAACGAAATTGAGCGGGTTGTGGAGGTGCAAAACGAAAACAGATATTTGCCAAAAAATATCAAACATAAAAACAATCGGTGCATCAACAAGATTTGCTTTTGATAATCAGTGCATTGAGTGATAAGTGCGGAATACAGAGGCAGTGCAAAAGAAATGACAAATTAATGGCCAGTGTGTGGAATTAGTGCCCATCAGGTTGAATAACAAATCTATTAAAAACATCTTTGCGATGGTGGACACTAACCTCAACATTATGTGGCTATCCAAGGAAAAGCAGGGAGCAGAATGAAATCAGATTTGAAATACTGAACATATGTTACAGGGGCACCGACAACATCTAATTTTAGAGAAGGGACTATTTAAGGCTGGTTCATGGTAATCTGGGCTCACTTCAAAGAGCAAATACCCCTGCCCTTGGCAACTTACTTACTTTCAGCTTGTAACGACAATCTGACGAAGAAAACGGGAGGCGGAAAAGCTGATGAGGCGACAATGAGAGTGAGCTTGTTGTAGATGAAACCATCACAAAACCAGACACAAGACCATTCATGAGACTAGTCACATGTAGCAGGGTGAAAAGTGACGAAGGAGTGTTTTGCTGCAATTATTGAAACAGCTTGTGACTTAAGGTTGCACTACACCAAATACACGCCCATAGAGAACAGCGCAAAATCAGACAAGATTATGGCCAGAGGATCACTTTTCGTTTCAATTTTATGGGGGTTTAATAGCCACATGGATTTTTTTAATTCACCTTTCCCAAAGATCCCCCCAAGTAGAAAAACTTTGCGCTCAGCTCTGAATGTAGCCGCCAGCCTCTATCCAAAGTAAGCTGCAATTTGGGGCTATTTATGAAAGAAATACCCTGAACTGGAAACTACCAGTCCCAAATTCGGGATTTACAGAAATATTCCTATGATCCCTCCTGATTATGGCATGTTGTAAAAACCCTGTGGGATCATAAAATATGAATGAGCTTGCATGCAGAAATCCAACGATTTGGTGGAATGCGCCCTTAAAGTCAGACTTGAGGTCTTGTGATGACCTTGTGGGGTCTTGCGATGGTCTCGATTACATTTCATGGGTATACAAAATGATTGAGTCTCAAGTACTGTTGGAGACTGCGTCCGAAACGGGCTCACAAACCTACAGCTACGTCTGTACAGTCAGCATTTATCATTGCGGTTGCGACTGGCAACGACTTGGACCCAGTCTCACAAGCACGATTTGGCTGTAGCCTCACCTCCTCGTTGGGTTTGTTGAGGGTGTACAGGGCGATGGCCGCCGTGACCCGGACCCTCGCGCTGCTGTCGCCCAGGGCTTTCTCCACGCACTGCAGGAGGGCATCTGGTAGCATCCCCTCCGAGTCGCCGGTGGTCTTCCGCTGGTTCATGGCGGCCAGTGCCTTCTGGGCAAACGTACCTGAGAATGAAAATTGCAAAGGGAAAATGTTGGGGGTTGATATAAAAAAAACCGGCTGTGATAGATTATTGTATCTGTGGCCAGGTATGGGACTTTGTTGATAGAAACAGGCACAGCTGCGGCTTTGGAAGCCCATCAAGACAGAGTCGAAGATTCCTTTGTCTACCAAGCCCACAGCTGATTGTACTCTTGTCTATGCAGAAATCTTTCAACTGTTTGCACAATTTCAGTCCGCCAATTTCCTTCAAAATCTTTCTTATTTAACTGCTCTCTTTTGAGAGTAAAAATAACACAAATTCCATCTCGCAAAGGGAGAATTCGACGATTGTCTTTTTTAAAATTAAGTACAAAGTTTTAAAGGATGAGCCGATTTCATATGAAATTTTGCTGTAGGAAAGTTTAGGAGAAATTAAGGATAGAATATTTTACAAAACTTACTTCTTCACGTATGAGGGTTCACCTCAAACTTTGATTTGTCTCATTACGTACTGCTTACTTTTGATTGGTACCCCGGGCTCGGCCGGTGGCCGGTAGGTTGCTGCCTTAGCGATGGTTGCTATGGCCTGTAATCGGACGTGCTCGTGTATGTCGGACATGTCACGGACAAGGTCATCGATGGAACTGTCGTACCACCTGTTGCCAAGGTGCCATTTGGTTCTCCATTCATCAACTACATGTTACAAAAGGAAGGGAAACTTATGCTCCGGGTGGGGTGGCCCAATTCAAGGAAAATTCTCCGCCAGGCCGAGGTGCATAAAAAGTACCCCTACAGATTCTTTTGAAAAGAGGGGGTATGTTTGGGCCAACAAATGGTGGGATTGTGTCAGTATGGCCCAGGATCATCTCTGTAGATTCAGGGGCACCCATCTCTGGGGGAAAGCAGACAAAAATGCGATTGAAAATTTGTCAGAAGAGCCCGAGGAAGGCGAGGGATGTCATTTGAAATGTGGCTGCTGAGAAGACTTGGGAACATTCACTTTTTTGGGGGGGGTGAGTTTGTTTTGGGTGGATAATTAAAGAATTAATTTGTTGGTTAACCCACTAAAAATTGAGAATCAAATGAAGTCTGAAGGACCAAACAACACATTGTTTTTTGTTTGAGTGGCCTCAGGGACTTCAGTTGCCTGCCATGGGGCTCCAAACTTGGTTGATTTGACACTATTTTCAATGGAGCTTGAATTGGTTCAGTGCACCCTTCAAGGGGAAAAAAGGATTGCTTTCTTCTGAAATACCAATGGAAAATCAGTGGCCATGCCCTAGCCAAGCAGAAAAGACATATGGCATGTTGAATATGCATAAGCAAACCACTCCAAATACAGAACATTATAAGTGTCCAAAGTTGAGATCACCAATCTCGCATGGACCGTACTTTGAATTCAACTGACAACGTGCTACACTGCAAAGGAAGTGTTCTGAACTGAGTAGGAACATTCGTGGACTTGAGGAATTTCCTGCAACCGCTGCTGAGACGGTACGAAATGGCTCCACACAGAGGCAGGGAGATTGAGCCAACTCACCCAGTGTGAGTAGGGTCTGGTTTTGCTTGTACTGTCTCAGTTCGGACTGGTCTGGTTCCCTGTGTGCCTCGGGGTCGTAGCCAGCTTCGTGGATGGTCAGTGAGACGTCGCCCTGAATTGAATATCAAAAACCTTCATAGCACAGCGAATGTGAGGCGATCTATAAATCATTCTAACCTCCCCTTGTGGCTTCTAAGGATGGTAACTAATAAAGTGAAGTAAATTTTGTCGACTGGCCCTTCCATCCAACATTTCTGAGTGAAATTCTCTGCCTTCAGATCAAAGTGAGTAGCTGGGTAGATGCGAACTGGACATGATGTAGAACATGGAGGAGAGACTAGATCTGGGTAGAATGCGATCACCTGAGAGACTCAAAATTGAAATTAGGAAAATGTTCCAAAGCTGCAGCTTCATGCACAGCTCAGCGTCTTCATGTTTTCAACTCTATCCCCAGAACCATTTTCAAACATTTGATATTGAAACTGAATGAAAATACGTTGAATTTCTTCCCTGACAGAAGAAAAAATTGCATTCAGCTTGAGAGCCTCGTTTCAGAGGACTTACTTCATGAAATTGAAGCCCGCACCCTTGGTAGATGGAAAATCGGTAGCAATAATACTTTGTAACGCCCATCTTAGAACAGGAACGTTTGGACTTACCTGAATTGCCTGGGGCAACTGGCTCCATTTTTTGTACCCCCTGTGGCCCCTCTGTGTCACTGCCTCCTCCTGTGGGCCTCGCTTGGCCCCTGTGGGACCTTCCCCGCTCCAGGTGGTGGGGTCTTGGGGGAAGTCCTCCTGCCTGGCGACGTGGTATAGGTTGCCGGTGTCCAGCAGGAGGTGAGAGGGGTCGTGCTGGAGGATCTGCTGGGCTCCTGTGATGGGAAAGTTTTGAAAGGATGGCATTTGTGAGGGGTATGTACGAAGTGTTGGTTCAACACTCTTTAAGTTAAACATTGTTTCTTCACCTTGGTCAGCCTAAACTAAGGAAAGGTCTTTGGTTAGAATCTCGCAGCTTCTGAGTATTTGACCTAGAAACATTGACTAATTTTACAACTCAGACAGACTCAAAGCCTTGATTGGTGGAGAGTCAAGTCACACAATGAGCAGTTAGCACACAGTGCAGTACGTACACATACATCTTTGTGACTTGTGTCGTCTTGAGTCAAGAGGTTCTCTTAAAAACCATGCAACTTACAAGAGGTATGCATGCAGATTGACAAAGCGCTAAAGCAAACTTGAGGATTGTACTAGAACCTCTAAAAAGAACTAGTAGAGTAAATGATCTCACCAGAAAGCCACTCCTGTTCAAACTGGTTTTGGGTGTCATACATCTTGTCGCCAACTGCAGGATTCATCACGTCTTTCAGAGTTGGGGGTGGCTTGGTTTTTTTCCGTGTCACCTTGATTTCCCTAGCTGTGCTGTTGATGGAGCCTTCAAAGGAAGATTGGAACCACAGGTGATGACAGTTTTAAAACGTTGTTACTGATGATAGGAAAAGTCAAATCCATCTTGAATGAAATCGAGGGTTTAGGAGTGAAAGCGCAACATTATTCTACTAACCTGCCAGTTCTTTCTCCATCTGTTTCTGTTGGCGTCGGAGGGCATCAGGCTGGCGATAAAAGGCAGCCAGAGATCTTGAGTTGATGTCATCCTCTGCTGGGCCCCTCTCGTTTCTGCCAGCTGCAGAGTTGTCTCCTGCCTGCTGCTGCTGCATTCCCCCGGACTGCTTTGAAGTCACCTTGGACCCTGTCAGCACCGTATCCCTGCTGATGCTCATGTCGCTGACGCTGACGTCATCGTGGATTAGGGTGTCCATGTGGCTGGGGGGCTCACCGTACATGTCCACCAGCATGCGGTGCAGCTTGTCCCTCTGGGGGCCCTCGGCCGTCTGCTCCCCCACGATCCAGCGGGCCGTATTCTTGCTCAAGTTCATCAGCAGGTGCTCGTCCCAGTTCTGGGAGTACTTGGCCTGGGGCTGCCTGGCACTGGCCTCTTCGGCACTGGCTTCAATGGCAAGGGGATCTTCAGTGAGGAAAACCAGCGATTTGGGACCCAGTTTCGACTCGGACTCGGTCCTCACTGTCTCCTTGTCTTCCTCGCTTGTGGCTGGCCCGATGGGCTTGAGCTTGGGTTTTCTAAGCGGTTCCAGTCGGTGATGGGAACGTTTCTTGATGTGGCAGGGCAAGTGCTGATTGGTGGTCCTGGAGTTGTATCTGCCCACCGGTCCCACACATTGCTTCTTCTCCCTCTGGATAATGCCAGAGTAGTCGTACGCATCTTGAATCGAATGTCTGTCATACGGCAAAGTGTGAGCTGCATGCGTTTTGACCACATCCTCACTGAACAAGAGATCGGAGCTGATCTTCTGTAGGTAATCCCTCCTCAGCATGTTCTGTCGCTGACCAAAGTAGGGCGTAGGGCGTAAGCCGGCCAAGCTGAACCTCCCCTTGAGGTTGCTTGCATCGGCACCAACTTGGGGAACTTTAATTCTGTCCCCACAAGGGAAAAGCTCAGGGTGCTGGGGTACACGGTCCATGGCCATGGTGCTTTTAGCTTTGAAACTATAAAGATGACCTCAAAAGCATTCTGAAAAGCAAATGATAAAAAATCAATTGAAATTAAAGCGGCCAATTCAATACTTTGTCTGCTGACATCAATGAAAATAAATGAATTTAATTTAAAATTGAAGTTGATAATTAGACCTAAATATCATGGCCTACCTGGCCTCAAAACACTTTAGTAATTCCTGTATGAATGCCAGTTTGTTAGGTCTAGGCCTATAAACACATTTTGTGTTAACATTTTCACAGCTCACATCACGCATAAGTTTAATATTTTCTGTTCTCGAAAGTTGAAATAATGTTCATTTTAGGCCTATTCCTATCATAACCTCAAATCCACGGTGAATGATACAGGGAGCGTGCCTTTTATAATTTTAGCCCTAACCCTTAGGGTGTAGGCCTAAGCCAATGGGGCGGCGGGAACATCCGGGAGTTTTGCAAAATGATGGGTAGGCCTTAGCAACCAATGAAAACTGCAATGAGCGTATGCACTGATCAATCAAAGAAATGATTGTGTGATCCAATGCTCTGACTGGCTGGTGCATGCATACATCTCCATGGTTGATTTTTTTATTGGTTACTATCTGCCATTTTGCGAGAGTACCAGATTGTCACACCGACTAGGTCTAGGCCTATGTAAAATCAAACTGAAATCGGAGGATGGAGGACTGGTGCCTGGGTAAGACATTTTTGGAATCAAATTAGCATAGGCCTCAGCCTATATTACAGTTAGAATAATTTTTTTTAAATGGAAGCTTTCCTCTAGTATTTCAAAAAATCTGAGACTGAGAACGAAGCGCGTAGCATGCACTCATCCCTATTGATTAATATCACTACTGGTTAATATTATTTCGCATGTAACGTTAGGCTCACCAACTTGAAAATAGAACATACTGTAAGTAAATGATTATATCGGTAATTTGCTCACACATTTGCCTCTAGCATCCATAAAACATGAAACTGACAGCTTTCTTGCTTGGTCTAGACTGACGTTACGCGTTATTAGTGTTCATTCGTGGCCGTGGACTGACAGACAGATCACCAGCCATGTTGACTGTTACCATGTCGACAAAATCATTTACAACGTGCAGTCCATTCGGCGCACGCGTGTACCGATTCCTTTCCCATGGTCCTTTGCGAAAAGTAAAACACATTCTGAAAGTTAGTTTGGACAAGACATCGAAGTACCTTTTAAATTTTATTCAGTTTCAGCAGGACCCAGTGGTACTGCCACCCCAAGTAACAAATTGCAAGTGATATGTTCTTTCATTCAGATATTTTGTAACTCCAAAGTGAAAAAACACATTGAGTTCGACTCTTGTCATTTGTGTTAAAACTTGGCTATGCTACATCATGTTCATAGTGCAGTGCCCATGAGTGACTCGGCTAGCCTTGACCTGGTTATCATTTTGAATAATTGCTGTGTGATATTCTGCAGAGGCTTATCTTCTTCAATAAATTTATTAGTTTTAATTATTCGTTTTTATTTATGTATGTATGTTTCCACTTTAATAGTTCTGCAGGAAAAAAAACCTCGAAGTTATCCGCACTTGTGTTTGTGGTCTCAGTAAACTCATCTGTCACCCTGCTCGGCACTTTTCAGCATGCTGCGTGTGGAGCAGGACCAGCACTACCAGAAGGAACGAGAGGAACTGGAGATGCTGAGCAAGCAACTCAAGAAGACCAAGGAGCAGCTAAGCACGATGAGCTGTAAGACATTCCACCCATCATGAAAGAAATAAATCATCGAAATAACAAGAGAAAAAAAAAGAGTTCCAACTAAAAAATTCATTAATTGATCAGAACTTCAGAAGGTAATCAAGGTTTCAGTGTAAATCCCAAAAAGAGATTCAACTAAAACGGGAAAATTTAAATAGCAGTTACACCATTTTAGCTCAAACTTTCATCTGAAAGTGAAAGCATATAGGCCTACACTGTATTCACTTCATCAGTAAGCACAGACACTGCATTCTACCTAAACAGATATTTAGTAGGGTTGAAATTGTCAACAGAAATCATTACTTTGTAAATGAGGACGCTAAACAACCACCATAGAAAGCAAAATTTAAGACACCAAAACTTGGAAAATTTTTAATCGTTGATGCTGAGCGCTATGCTCATTGACGTGTGTGGTTGATGCCCAAAAGAATTTGAGTCATTTTTTTCTCTTATCCCGACGTCGGTGAAATGATGGGATTCGAATCTTCCAGTGCAGGCTCACTTGCTGCAAGTGGACTTGGCCACCCAGTTCAACCCCTTTGCTGTGGAGGCTGTCAGTAACGCCAAGGAAGTGTGTGAGAAGTGCGGCGAAACGATCAAGGGAGAAACATGAGTCCGAGCGAAGGGAGGCCCTTCACAAGGCAACTACTCCGGGCAACAATGCTCAGTTAGCCCTGAAGTTCACTCAAGACTCTTTTCAATTTGTACTCAGTAATCCAGGGAGTGAGTCACAGAGTCATATTCACGCTTCTATGTTATGACACTTGCACAAATCCTTGAAATAAAGCTCAAATTCCAAAGGTTTAGACAGTAGACAACATCTGAACACTATCACGACATCAGTTCTCTCGCATGTGCTTTAATTTAAAACGTAATATGTACAAGGAAATATACAAAACCAATAGGGCCATTTTACGGTGCCGATGACACGTCAATGGTTTACATAAAGATATAAAATATATAAGTTTACTTTGTACAAAGTACACATAGATTTGGAAGAAAGTGAATGGCATGTTAGGCCTACTCCTAAACCCAAGTACTCGTAGAATGTTTTCCAGTTTTGTTTCCTGGGAATTTGCGTGGTCCTTCAACCTGATTTTATGAAGATCAGCATTTGGGTAAAAGTGAGCAGTACCTCCAGTTAAAATAAAGTTTGTAAGGGCAAGTTAAAAATGTAATTCACAGAAATGTTCACTTTCATGAGCTACCTGCTACTTTAACTGGAATGACCTTCAAATGTACACCTCGTTCAGTTTCAAAATTATATCAAAAGTATTGCAGTTGATTGTATTTCTTTAATAATATGCTTAACATCTAAATAAACCTTCCAAAGAAAACAAACTTCTTGCTTTAGAAAAGTCAAATAACTGTAAGCATGCACAAAACTTCATAAAGGAGCCAGAAACAAAAGTTAATCGGTCACTCTTCACGGCGTGATTTACCGGGCAAGTTATATACACATCAAGTCTTGAATGTGGTTATTCCTATTATTTCAGAACCAAACAAAAACGTCCCTGCTAGTCCACGATTCTGAGAGGTCATTAGAGAAGCATGATGGGCAACAGAGAAACTTTGCAATTGCGGGCACAGTAAATGGTAATGTTGAGGTTCTTTCCTTTGAAAGAAACGGGTATCCAGGTATACTCACAGACTTTTTGGGTCTCGGGTTGTAAAGAGGACTGACAGTCTTGTCATATGCCATCGAATCGACATGAAAAGAATTTGATTCATGATAACGTGACAAACGGTACATAAGTTGAGCAAGTCCGACCGTGGCAACCAGGTATCAATTGCTGGAGTTGGAGGCATAGCGCCCTCGGTGGGTAGGCAGATTGGGTGGAACAAAGTTCCTGTACATCTGCAAGAAGGCATCTTTCTCCGGGATATCGTCGGCATTCGGTCTCTCAGCCGGATTGCTGGCCAGCAACATCTTGATGAGCTTGGTCTGCAAGCAGAGTGACATTGCAGAAGATAAGTGGAAGTAATCCTGAGTGCATCACAGCTTCCTCAGTGGATAGCTGTGAGATTCACTGGCATGCCAATCTGTGAACTCCCCAATTTGAAACTTCTCATAAACCTTTACCTTCTGGACCCAACACACACCCCTACTTTTCCCTCCAAGTCAACCAAATAAGTACTGCATGAATCTTCGATTTCGATGAGGCGCTGCACAACGAAGACGCGGCTCTCACATGAACGGAGAGCAGTGCCTTTGGGGTCCACTTTCAAAATAATGTCCGGCCAAAGCCTACCTCCAAGGGCAGCTCCTTGCCGAATCTTTCTGGAAACTTCTGCTGTCGGGAGCCGCTCATCACCTGCGGAATAGCATTGACACATTCTCCGCTTTAGGGTGGAGTGACAGAAAAACAAATGCAGTACATGTATACCCATCCTTCTCCAAAGTCCTTCTTAGAATAAGAGAGCTGGAATCCAGCAGGCACCCGGATGAAGTCTGGGTAGGGTTAAGTTTGTCGACGTTACACTTCAACTTTTTAACTCCCAAGACCTGAACTCCGCAAGGAATGTCAATGAGCGGATTTACCATGATGCGCTCCATCTGGGTGCTAAACGGATGCAGCAGCTCAAAGAAGATCAGCCCCAGAGAGAAGATGTCCACTTTGTGGTCGTAACTCTTCCCACTCAACTGCAAAGAAAAGAGAACTTAATGTCTGATCAACCATCTAAATTATAAGATTTATAAATCACACTTTGCATATATCACTCTTTGTCTCTCTATCCTGCGCATTTGAGGAGGTTTAACCCAAACGTGGTATTCTTGATGACAAAAAATTAAGGTGGAAGACAAAATGTGCTTCCACGCGATTGTCTTTTCGCCTTACCTGTTCGGGACTCATGTACAGCTGGGTACCAACTTGGCTGGTGTGCTTCTTGCTGAGGTCGATGCTGCTGAGGTCGTCATCCAGTGACTCATCCGGTTCGAGCTGGGTGTCCACTGCAGTCACCAGGCCAAAGTCCCCTACCTTGACAGTCCCGTCCACTGAGAAGAAGATGTTGGATGGCTGGAAACAGGTGAAACATTTGTATTTGACATTTGCTTCCCAATAGCCCGACGAAAGTCCCTCATTTCCTTCGATAGACCAAAGTGCACGAAGCTGTAATGAATTTTTTCTCTGGACTCGATTTTCTGAAATTCTCTGAACTGGAAGAAAGGTTTGAATAGGTGTTTGAATTTCACGCATAAGAAAAATTTGGAGAGATTTACAAAAACAAGAACTGTCCACAGACAAGGCAACAAACCTATTGATCATGAGATTCATGAGCGAACTCATCCCCCAAATTTTCTTCTTTTTTTTTTGAATGAATAAATGAATACTTTTCAACTTGAGGCCTGGATGCCAACAAGTTTGACTTTATAATGTTTTGAGACTCAGATAACAGGTGGAGGCTTCTTGTACCTTGAGGTCTCTGTGTATCATGCCGCAGGAGTGTACGTATTGCACGGCGGCTAGGATCTGCTGGAAGATGTGAAGGAGGCGGAGGCGATCCCGGCTCAGCGTGTTGGCCCCCAGCCAGTCCTTCAGCGTCTCCTTCTGGCACAGCTGCATCTGGATGTACAGGTAGACCCTGGGTGCTGAGTGGCAGCTCCGGGCGTTGCCCGCCCCTGCCAGGGAGCCTTGCCGGGAGTGTTTGCCCGTGGCGTCGTCTTTCCTCGGACGGGTGTGGTCATCAAGGTCTGCCGCGGAGCTCTCGTGGCAGAACACGCTGTCGTCGTTGAGCCCAGTGGAGTCGGCGCTGCGCGTTTCTGGTTTACGGCAGTCGCGATTGCGACTCTCGAAACCTACTTGGAAAGAACCAGAGTTTTGGTTGTAATCCGATGGGGAGCTCAGTTGATCAACTTGACTGTTGTCGCAGCCGACCGAGTCCCTGTTTCCAATTTTGGCTGATGTGACATGACCTGATGTATCACTTTCGAATATCACTTGGAAAGAATCATCTTGACCAGCCCTTGGGCGGACAGGGGCCAGGCTGGAAGATCTTCCAAATGGAACGCAGAGTGGAGCGTTGACAGGCGTTAAGAGATCGGGATCGGAATTGCTACTCAATCCGAGGTTAAACGCAGCCGACTCATCCACTTTGGGGGTCAAGCTGAACTCTGCGTCGCCGTCAGTGTCATCACAGAATTCAATACTGAACGAGCCACTTTCCTCATTGAGATTCGTGAGGCAGTCGACAGCGCCACTGGAAAAATCTTCCATCTCGACTTGGCTGGTTGGGGGGACCTTGAGGTGGAAGGCCGTCTGGCTCAAGAACTGCTCCTTGTCTCGGACCAGCAGGCTGTCCTTGTTAAAATTGGCCGTGGTGGATTGTGAGAGAAGAGTTGCATGGCTGGGATTTACGCTACAAGATTGCAGAAGAAAAACGAAATGCCGACTTTTAAAAAGCTCCAGACTTGATGGAAGGTAATTGTTAGGGTATGAATGAAGAAAAATCACATTCTCCGAAAACATTTTATTCGGTACAATCAAAGAGACCTGCTTTACGTTTTTGAAACCCAATCCCAAAATGTCCTTTTCCCCCCTTTTTTCCTTTTTTTAAAAAAAAGTAAAATTATCCATCACAAAACCATATCTCTATAAAGTTAAATGTGCAGAGGGGACCCAATTTTGGGCAAGTCAATATAAAAAAATGGCAATGTTCTTTGATCATCAAATGAACAAGAAAAAGGAATTGACTATTATAATCAATATCTGGCCGAACAAGTACCCTGAGAATTGACGAGAGTGGAGTTTAATCAACCACGCATCTATCTGTGCTCTGAGCCCTCTATACTCAAGAACTCTTCAAACTTTAGTCGCAGGTTCGATTCCTGCCTCACTCAACGCCACAAAAAAAAAACCTGAATACTGACTAGCAAGAGGTTTTGGCAGGGGGGAGTCGTTTTTTGGGACTGACCTGTCTCCCAAGAGCTGCTCGTCCTGAATCTTCTGCCAGCCTGCCGGGGGCTCTTCCAGCCAGGAGTTGAAGTAGCGGACGATGCCTCCGTGGTCCAGCCTGGCCAGAGCCCTGGCCTCCCGAAGGACCTTGTCCCGAGCCTTGGTCCTAAAACGGGAACGAAAACGTGGACAAGACGTGAACAGAACAATTCACTGATTTTTTTGTCAACCTCAAGTGTATGGGTTTTTCAAATCACAGATCCGCCTGCGTTCTTTGAGTTAACGTTTTCAGTTTCTGAAACAAAATTGCGGACAAGGCATAAAAACAATTCACAGATTTTTTAAAAACCTTCCAATACACTAGGGGTTTCCAGATCACAGTTCTGGCTGGGTCGTTGACTTCAAGTTTTCAGTTTCTGTGAATTCTGTCCCCCCCCCGAACTGAGAACCTAGACTTTATACAGCATCCAATATGGGGTCAAATTTCAAGAATGTCCACTCTGCTTAATACTTGTCCCTGTCACAGCGTACACAAACGCTTACATTACTGGTCAGGGGTAACAAAAACCAATCTAATACTCCATGCACTGACGTTTTCAAAATCCCTGCTGAAGTGACTATGCCACAGGAGGGTAAATGCAAAATCTGTTACCTGTTTGGAAGGCATATCCTTTTGATGGCGTAGCTGTTCTCGTCCACCTTATTTTTGGCCTCAAACACAATGCCAAAGCCGCCTTTGCCGAGACATTGCTGGTGCTCGAAGTCGGTCAAATATCTACAAATGGAAAAGTTTAAAAAGCAGATAAAAGACTGATTTAGTTTTGTACAGTAATTAATTTTGTGTAAAATAATTGTTTGTCTAGGTTTTAAGTTTTATTATGGCATCTTAAACATATTAAACTTTAAACTGTGAATTCACAGAGAGTGAATCTGAAAGTTCCTGACTATGTGCTCGGCCAGTAGGAATTTAAGACCCCTCACAAAAAAAAACCCACCTAGACTGGTATTAAAAAAAAAAAAGAAAAAACAAAAACACAAACAAAAACGATGCAAAGCCTTACCGAGACTTGTACTCCATTGGCTGGTTGTCCGCATTTCCACCGGTGTCCTCCGACATGGACTCCTGCGTACTGACGGATCCCGTGAAGCTCAGGCTGTTGACTCTCTCGAGCGTGGAGCTGGACCTCAGCATGTGACACAGGAACTGCATGCCCAGGGCGAGGACCAGACTGATGGCCAGAATTTCCTTCCTGAGAACAGACGACAAGCATGCTTTGATAGAAAGGAAAACATCCGGGACTTTGGGTTACAGTCCAGGTTTACCATGTAATTGATCAGTTTTGCCTGCCAAGTTTGCCCAGGGTAGCTCTGGACCTAAATTTCTGGGGGGGGCGGGGAACTGGAAAGTTCTTCATGTAACCTTTCATGGCCTGTCTGAGGGTGAGGCTATTATTGGGGGCTTTTTACACAGCAAAGGAAGTAAAACAGTCCCCAATATTGCCTTTTCTCATTATTAACAAAAAAAAAAATGGGTGAGGGGGGGCGACCTGGATCCACAAATGAACATCCAGCGGATGAGAACTTTAAATTATTGGACAACTGGAACTCTAGTGGAAATCTCTGCACCGCATTTTACACAGCCAATTGGTGGTAACCAAATTTTGTGCGCACACATTGTTAAATGCCACTCCAAGTTGACATACACAAAACAAGCCCAACTGAGGTATTCTGCCCGAAGGCTCTTTAATGCCATTTGCATACCGCAGCTTTTATTTGTTAAAATTCAGCTCGCAAGTAGCGCAAATAAACTACTTACCACCAGAATACTGCAGACACTGACAGGAGAATATCAAGGCCGTCATTCTCGCCTCGTGACCCGCTGTCGTTGGAGTCCGAGTAGCTGGGGTTTTTCTTGGGCCCATAGACTTGAAACTGGACCGGACTCTGCTGCAGCACGTAATACCCGACATCTGATCAATGGGGGGAAGGGAAGTGAGCAAATTTAGAAAAGATCACAGCCGATCACTTTGACTTGAAGGACAACTCCCACAAGCCCAACAAAATTTCCCTGATATTTTCTCCAGGTGCTCAGGTAATTTGCAACAAAATGTAACACAGCTGAGATGAAAACCCTGTTAAAAGCACCAAAATGGAACACAGCTGAGATGAGAACCCTGTTAAATGTAACATAATGGAACACAGCTGAGATGAGAATCCTGTTAAGAACAACAAAAGGCAACCCAACTGATTCTTCAACAATTTTTTCTAAGCCACACAATGGCCATTTTATTAAGGATGCTGAACTGAGTGATACATCAAAACAAAGCAGGGCAAAATCCAAAATTAATTAATTTACATCTTCCTGGCGTTAATCCATCTTTGAAATAAATCAACGTTATCGAAAAAAATTCCCTCATGACTCATTTTGCGGGATTGAGTCAAATTTTGTAGCACATTTAGGGTTCAATTTTTTTTTCCCCGATTTGAAAGTGATAAAAACGGCAGTCTCACCGAATGGGTACTGCGACCACACAGTGATGGCATTGCTGTCCGCTGTCCCCAGCCTGTGATTGCTCTGGTCATTGACCACGATCGGGGTCCTAGAGGGCGCTGTCGACATGTACGGCCGCCACTGTACTTTGGGCGCAGGGAAGCCAGTGGCGTAGTCCTTTGAGCTTGCAGCGGCCGACGCTGCCTTCATGCCGGCGACCGCCTGATGAAAGTGCTGCACTTCCTTGGAGGAGTGGACGTAGGCCTGATTGTTGTATTCGCCTGGGGGGGGAGAAATTTTATCGGGGATTTCATCGATTGAGGGGAACGTTACTTAAATCGGACAATCCCACGGGTACTATGCAACAAATGGGTAGGAATTCAGTGCCCGGTTTTACCACAGAATTATTTAAAACCATTTTTCTGCATTCACAGTGTTATCACAGAAATTTTGGCACCAATGATGTCATTCCTTCATCTTTTGCTAGAAGCGCCCAAACATGGCCAAGCAAAACTCTTTGCCAACCCATGGAATATGCTTTATCGCTTTTTGTAACTACAGTGAGCAGAAGTTGCTCGCTTACTGTACGAAGAGCCATGAAAACTGGGACCGAGGATGAGGTTGCGGCCAAACATGCACTAGGACCTTTCAATATTTAATGAGAGGCAATCTTACCCATGAACAGGGCAGGGCGCAGCTGGGAGTTCGGCTGTGCCTCTCTGTCATTCTCAGGACCGAGCAGAAGAATATTTTTGACATCAAAGAGATCGATCGGATCCAGCTTGCCTTCTTTGATGGTCCAGGCAGCCGCTATAGCTGTCGAGAACTGAAAAAAAAAATGGGTGCTGTAAAATTTCCGTCTCCATATGTGACAAGTCCATCACGAGTCCTGTCACATGACCAGTCACAAGTTATGGTTTTGATACAGTTTGCTTGAACAGCCTGTGACTGGGCTTCAGACTGGATAGTGTGTGATGGACCTACAAGGACTTTTGAGGACTTATGATGGACTTGGTCTTGCAGGGACTAGTGGGGACTTGTGATGGACTTGCAGGGACGAGTGAGGAC